ATACCAAAGAAAAATAATTTTCACCACATATGGCATAAGCTAATGAACAAGCAGATTCCACTTATGAATAAGAAATTCAAAATTCATGTAGAAAATTTGGAGGGCATACAGAAAATCCAGAGCAACAAATGCCAATCTTAATCTTAGGATAAGTAGATACTTCACATTTTTTAAGTATCTATTATAGCTACAGACCACTATTTCCCTATTAGAAAACAGCAATTATACTACCTACAGCTTTTTCTTTTTCATTTTAAAATTTCTACCTCCACATCATTCTAGGATCTTCTCATTTTTTATAATTCTCAAAATAATCAAAACAAAAGGTACACTAGAACTTACTAAAGCATTTTTAAAGATTCATTCATATCTGAATACTTATTTATTTTTATTGGAAAAACAGATTTTTACAAACAGGAGAGACAGAAAAATCTTGATTTATTTATATTTAAAATGTAAATTTAGAGTGAAGGAGAGACAGAGATCGGTTGGTTTACTCCCCAAATGGCTGCAAGAGCTGGAACTAAGCCATCAAAATCAGGAACCCAGGGCTTCCTCCAGGTCTTTCACATGAGTGCTGGGACCCAAGGACCGAAGCCATCTTCCACTGTGTTCCCAGGCCATAAATACAGGATACTGGATCAGAAATGGAGCAGCCAGGAAATACACCAGTGCCCACATGGGAGAGCAGTGCTGCAGGCGGAGGATTATCCTGTAATGCTCTCAGCCCTAAAATGTTTCTATTTCAGGGATTTAGGTATTTTCTAACTATGTTATTATAAATACTTAGGAAAAAAGACTTATTTTAAAAGCGGACACAGGGATCTTTCATCTGCTGGTTCACTCCTCAAATACCTCCAACAGACTCAGCTGGGCCAGGTGAACCCAAAAGTCAGAGCTCCATCTGAGCTTCCACCTGGTGTCAGGGACTCAAATACCACAGCCATCAGCCATCACTGGAAGTTGGAGCCAGGACTCAAAGTGGTACATCTCAAGCAGCAACTTAATCTACTTGTGTCACAACGCTGACCCCAAAAGCTATCTTTACAGTTTGATTTATAACATCACAATGATCCCTGAGTTGCATTAATTTACAGAACCAGCAATGAATGACATGTACCACAAAGCCAGTGCTCACATTCATTCAAGCCTGGATATGGCCAAATTTCTCAACAACCACTCCAAACTTCGTGATTAAAAAATGCTTATTCTCATTACTGAACATAATTTGCATTTCTTAATACTAATAAGAACTGCATATTCTATGTGATTATCAGACATTGTATCTTAATTGAATGGACCATTTATGATTTACTTTTCCGATGTCTTCTACTTAACTTCTTAAATTACTAATACATGAAAACAATAAAATCTCAGTCTTTTCCATTATAATTTTCTTTGCTACACATCAATGCAGCACTTATTTAAACCATGGTTTTTATAATGCACTCTAATACCTAAAACCACTCTTTAATTAACCTTCCAAGTTTTGGCATTCCCAATTCATTTGCTTCTACACATGTGCACTTAAGTCACTTAGTGAAGTTTTAAACAACAAAAACTTCAGGAATATTTTGATTTTTACTACATAAACTAATAAGAAAACACTACCATTTTCTTCATACCTTTCTTCCCATTTAAGAACACAGACTGGACTTCTATAAAATGCTTCTGTTATTTTCTTCAGTAAGACTTCCTGGCATTTTTATGGTTGTTGCTTAAAATTTTTACTATAAATTACTTTTTTATATTATACTTCCTAATTAACACTTTTTGAAATATTGAAAAGCTACTGATTTTATAGAAGCTAAAGACAAATAATAATCATTTTGAGTCTTTTTTTCAGGCTGTTTTTGTCTCCCTGTCTTGAGTAGCACTTTTACAATGATGTCCTTGACTAGTTCCCAAAGATAAAGCTGACTTAGCCCTGTACCTAATTGACTGTTATCAAGCAATAAGACAGTAAACAACATGAACTTCCCTACTCAAATCCATCTATTCCAATCCTACCATCTGTAGAGTTGCTTCTGCCATTCATTTTTAGTGAGCCATCTGTTTCAGCCATCTGTTCCCTTAGTAGATCACAGTCTGAACAGCTAATTCAAAGTCTCACCTTGGACCCAGACGCCAGCCGGCCTCCTAGCTGGTCATACTTCAAAGTCGTGACAGCTGCTTTGTGTCCATTGAAGGTAACATCTCCTTCCCCGCTGAGGAGACTGAAGATTCGGATACAGCCATCCTCATAACCAACGGCCAGATGCAGTCCATCTGGGGAGGGACACAGGCAAGTGACTTCTTGTCTTAGCCCCTGAAGGATGAGGATCTGAAAAACCATCACAACGTAAAGGAGTTAACCAGGTCACCAAGAAAAACATGTGGGAAAAATTGGGCAATTAAGTACAATTAAGAACAACAGTAATTTCAAATCACTTTCATAAATAATGATACTATACTGTACCTCTTCAGCCCTTTAATGGGAATTATGAAGCAGCAAAGAGGTAAAATGATTCTCTCCACAATTCAACATTGGCATACAGAAGTAAAATTCATCAGGCAACAGAATAAAATTACGCAGTCTTCATCTAGCACAACACCAACTGAGTTTCATCAGAGCAGAACCCAACTAGCACAGCACCACAGTTTTATTTCCCAAAGAACTCTGGCCGCAAGTATGTGGGACGTCGTATGGCAAACGGACAAGACTAAAATGTTTATAATTGGTTTGGCAGGAATAGCAGACTCAGCGAATTCAGGTTCACATAGAAGCAAAACCCAGTTTAAAGCTCTGGCGTCTCATCTGTGCAAGATTCAGTCAACATTGCAGAACAATATTCTCAAATGCCTAAAATTTGTTAACTTGCTGTGAGGTCAAGTGGACATTGGAAAATAGAACAGTGAAACATGTTAGGAATAAATTTCAATCCACAAACAATGACTTTAAGTATTACTATTGCATTTAAGAAATAGTCTCATATTGGGTTGTCGTTTTCAGAAACTGGTAAATACAACAGAATTCAATGCTTACCTATTTAGACTCAGAGGCAAAAGGATTTCTGAGGGCACAGAAGCACAAAAATCATGCAAAATAAGTAAATCAGAAGTCTCCCATTTGTTAACCCATCCTCAAACACACTTAGATCATTATCAACTGGTTGATTTTTGGCTCACCTTCTCTCCTTTCCTCAAGTCCCAAATGAAAACGTGTTCGCAGGCTGGTACTGCCACATAGCGTCCTTTCTCGCCACGAAGTGTCACGAAGACAATATTACCTTTTTGGCTGCCAATCAGGCCAAAGACTGCACTAGCCACATAGCGCAGGTACTGCTTGGTGAGGCCCATGTTACCGAGCGGGATACCACAGGTGAGGCAATCTGCAACATACACAAAGAAAATTCAATTCTTCCTTTACCTAGGTTCTGACAGAGTAGCAAACAGCAACTATTATCTTGTGGCCACAAGTACATAACTTGTAACTTCCTAATATTTGTTAACACTAAATAACTAACATAAAAAAAACCCACTGGAAGTCTACATTCTTTAATTTTTGATGACCAAACATGCAATTCCTCCAGTTTCGAACTGCTCACAATGTCATGCCGATCTCGTAAACACCAGACATTACAGCCTTAATGTACTGTTAACTGGTACCCAATTCCACTCACAATCAAAATGTTACATTCACACTAGCGGCTTGCAACTGAATATACTTATCAGTGAATTAGACTAATTAATTGTAAACGCTAGACATATGGCATTGAATCAGGAAATCCTGGTCCCCACAGCACTTCCCTTCTAGGATAGTGGTTACAAACATGCATATACCCAACGTCCTGGAGGCCTTAGAAAAGGAGAGCTGGCGCCCACTTTGTCCCATCGCACACCTGTTTCTCATTCATTAGGGCTCATTTCTCACAAGTCCTCAAAGGATACTACTGCTGGTCGTGTTTCTAGGACCACATTTGAAACCCGAGTGTAAAAGCTGCACCAACAATTCCACAAACGAGACTGCGATTTTGTGTCTCTTTTACAGACACGGAGCCTAGACACAGAGGTTAAATGCCTGGCCTAGCGTCATTCGGCACCAAAACCAGATGCCAGTGCAGCTCTTCTGACTCTGAAATCGGTGTTTTTAATCACTGCGCTAAGCTGCCTTCCTCCTTTCTTGTGCCACTCAACCCCATCTGGACCATGCTCTCCCAGGACATCACTCACCGCTGGCTGGATGCGCTAGTTTTCCACCCTGCCCCTCCGCCTCCCAGATTCTTCCCTCATTCCATTTAAAAGTCACACTTATCGGAGAGATCCTTTCAGACGCACTTGTCCCTACCCCACAGCCATTGAAAGAGCTAACTCGCTTGCCTCTTTCCGATAGCTCATCCTACCCGTGCTTCTTCGCCCTGCGAACTGGCCTTCCTCACCTTCCTTCTCCCATCTAGAACGCTGCGCATCCTCAGACACCTGTTTCCATCCGCATCATCCCCAGGCCCACGTGCCTCCGATTCGACCCAACTCCAGCCGGGCTCAACACCTTCCGTGCCCGCAGCCCACTGCTGGGGCGGCCCGGCTGTTCCCGCCACGCGGAACCCCTGGGACACTCGGCGGCCCTTGGATTCCGCAGTACCGACACCTATAGACGCCCGCGCCTGCAGGGACGCCCCAATCCCCCTGCTCATCAGGACCACAACTTACCCTCACCTGGGCGTCTGCTGACACCACGAAGGCCCCGGCCAGCTTCCGCCAAATCCCCCTAGTGCAGGAGCCGTCAGCAGCAGCAGCAACAGAGAAGGTCCACAGTATGTACCGATGCCTCCACGAGGTTCCAGGAGAACGCGGCGGCCGCCTACCACCCGGGCCTGCCTCTTCCGGGTCCGCCCCTGGAGCCTCTTCCGCCCGGCGTTCCCTTTGCCTTCGAAAAGGAAGTGACGGAGAGAGCGGGCTGTGATTGGTTCGCGCGGCCTGGGAGCGGAAGCGCAGAGCGTTTGCAGCTGGTCATTCTAACCTCCCGGGACCGAGTGACTGGCGTTCGCCGCGGCGCTCCTGCTGAGGGCTTGTCCCGAAATGTCATTCGGCCGCCCTCAAAGAGGAGCGTAACCCGGCCCCGCCGCCGCCCGGATGGGACCGCCGGAGTGCTGTGAGAGAAGCGGGGAGGCGGGGCCGGGCGGGGCGGGCCCGGGGTGCGGCGGGAGTCGCGGGGGGCTCGAGCCGGGCGTGCGGGATCGGTGCTGCGGTCTCTGAGGAAGAAGGATCCTGGCGCGGCTTCCCGGAGCCTCGCGGGGGTTCTCGGCGCGAGGCGTGGCAGGGACGCCGGCTCGCCCGGACGGGACAGTGTAGAGGCTGACCAGGCGCGAGGGTGTGAGGGGGCGCGGGAGCCTGGGCTGCGGGGCAAGCGGGGCGGCCGGGAGCCGTGCGCGGGGCAGCCTCCCAGCCGAGTCCAGGGGCGCCCCGCGAGCCGACGGCCGCTGCGAGCCGGGAGGGGTGGACGCCGAGCCCAGGATGCTGAGTTGTCAGAGTTCCCGCAGTCCCTCGGGTGACATTGGCCAGGCTTTTGTGTTTCCGCCCTGCGGCCGCTGGAGGGAGAAGTGACCAGAGCCCACTCCTTGTGTCCTGACCGAGCCTTAGGGTGCTCTGCTGTCGGGTGCCAATGCGCTTTTTTTTTTTTTTTTTTTTTGCCTGTCTTGGAAGTCCTGCCCGCTTGTTCTCTTGCACTGTGTAGCAAGAAGTGTCAGGACTGAGTTGCGATATATCGCTGACATAAAGACGCACGCCAGCCTAGAATTTGGACTTTTTGTCTGCGTTGTCTGATTTGGTCGAGACGTTTCTTGGGTTTAATTGCAATAGCAAAATGCACGTGACGGAACTGTGAGCAGCTGTTCCTCCCGGATGTTTGGGAATAAGATTACAGTGGATAGAATGAATGAGAAGAAACTGTGGCAACAGATTATTTCAAGGAGCCTCTGGGTGGGTGGGTGTGTAAGGTCAGCATACTGCTTTACTGGAAAACTGCATTGTTCAGATTCCTTCTAAATGACACCTCTTGGACTATCTGATTGCAAGGGAAGCTAGGAGAGGTCACTGGATACTAAATCAGTTTTGCCTGTAGAGGTCGAGGTTCTGCTCTGTCTCTTAGTGTATGAATGGATGCTTCGCCGCGTTTTACATATACCTCAATACTTCTGATCTGTTAAGCCATCTAGTTTCCCTTTTATTCCCATCTGCCTTGTTTCCTTTTGAATTATAAAATATTGAACACGTGTTCATTATTATATATGGATGAGTCATGATTCTGCCTTTGCTTAAAAAAAAAGTTGCCTTAGCATTATTAAATATTATGGCAAGGGACTCCATAGATGGTAGGAAGAATTTCAGTAAACATGGGTATCAGGGCAGCTGTCACTGAATGCTAGTAACATCTTACAAGACATGTTCACTGTGTCAAGGATATCACATACTTTCTTAGTGAAGTTACAATGTAATGTGCTATATTTACACCTGAAAATAACAGTTTATGAAGATGGGATTGCTAATCACTTTGAGGACATGGGCTTTGGGTGTTTGGGGATGTTTGGGGCGTTGACTGGGCTTAGCCAATTTCTTGTGCCATATTTCATGTTGGCATAGTTTTCCCGGTGAGCGGCTTTTCAGTTGGCATGTTTTTATTTGTAAAAATGATCATCTTTATTATAGTGAGTTTGGTATTGGGATGGAAATAGGGTGCAAAGATACTCTAATGTATCATGGACTTCTACATATTGAAATACAAAAAAGACCAACCCTGTAATTTTTTTTTTAAGATTTATTTTATTTTGGGCCCAGTGGTGTGGCCTAGTGGCTAAAGTCCTCTCCTTGAATGCCCCGGGATCCCATATGGGCGCCGGTTCTAATCCCGGCAGCTCCACTTCCCATCCAGCTCCCTGCTTGTGGCCTGGGAAAGCAGTCCAGGACGGCCCAAAGCCTTGGGACCCTGCACCCGTGTGGGAGACCTGGAGGAAGTTCTTGGCTTCTGGCTTTGGATCGGCTTGGCATCGGCCATTGCGCTCACTTGGGGAGTGAATCATCGGATGGAAGATCTTCCTCTCTGTCCCTCCTCCTCTCTGTATATCTGACTTTGTAATAAAAATAAATAGGCCACAAGCAGGGAGCTGGATGGGAAGTGGAGCTGCCAGGATAGAACAGGTGCCCATATGGATCCCAAGGTGTTCCCGGCGAGGAGTTTAGCAGCTAGGCCACTGTACCGGGCCCTATAATGTGTTTTTTAAAAAGAAAAAATAGTAGCAAAGTAGAAACAATAGATAATGGAAGTGGTGTGTGTAGACCATCTCTCTTTGTACTTTTACCCAGGTCTGACTAATCAGTGGAAGCATTTTGAAGCCTAGGTAATCACATCAAAAGTTCTCATTTTTTCTTTTAAGTGATATAGTTCTCTTTTTAACCCAGAAAAGAAAAAAAGATTTTTGAGATTGTGAACAGTATGCCTCACGTGCCCAGTCTTGAACAGTACAGTCAAATCTGTCCATCCAATGCAGCTATTCATATAAAACAATACTAGGAGAACTTCAGACAGAATATTAAAAATGCAGTGTAATAACTGCTTACATCATATTGTTTGAATTGTAAAGGAGACTTCGTGAATTTTCTTGGTATTTTAGTTCTTTTCCACTAAGATGGGAGGTTGGGGCAAGCAAGGAGGTAGATCTGATCACTCTAGAATCTTCTGTTTATTCCCTGTAGGCCTTTTGGCCCTGGAATGTTGCTGTCTTGTTTCAGGAGCCTTTTTCAGTGAGGCTTCCTGTTTGCTCCTGAGCCTGTTCAAAGTGCAGAACTGATGAGTTGATTTTCAGTATAAAGTCTGGCTGGCTGGCAGTGCTATCCAAAAAGCTGACTGTGGCTAAAGATTGTGCAGCCTCTTCCTGCCTCCTCCTTCATTAAGGACTCCTGCTCAGAGTCACTGGGATTGTTCGTTTGAATCTGGGGACTTTCACACATGTGTTGCAGATCTGTGCTTCCTGAGTTCAGGGACACACATTTTGGGGTGATAAGAAGGGCCTGTGACCCCAGGAATGCTGAGAACCACTATTTCCTGTGCAGTCAGCTTTTGGTTTTTTAGGCCTGCTGTGGTTTTGATGCTCCATTTGTAGAAGAGTGTGAGCAGGAGGCAGAGAGGCTTAATTCTGTTTCGGAGTAAGAAAATAGAAATGCTAATTGACTGTATTGGTCAGTTTTTGCTGTATATGTTTGTTGAAATAGTACACTGCAATCCACAAAAATGCTTGTGTAGTGATTGTTAACCAAAAATGAAATTAATTTTTAAGTCTTTAGTGTCAAGTTGATTTCTGTTTGGAGCTGAATCTGCAAAATAGTCAACCTTTGTTAACTACTGTAACACCTCTTGTAAAATGCCATTAACCTCTACCCTACGATAACACCTATGGTCATTACTAATGGCTCATTTAACATCCAGTATCTTTTTTTTTAAAGATTTATTTTTATTATTATTTTTTTATTGGAAAGGCGGATATACAGAGAGGAGAGACAGAGAGGAAGATCTTCCGTCCGATGATTCACTCCCCAAGTGAGCGCAACGTCCGATGCCAAGCCGATCCAAAGCCAGGAGCCTCTTCAGGGTCTCCCACACGGGTGCAGGGTCCCAAAGCTTTGGGCCGTCCTGGACTGCTTTGCCGGGCCACATGCAGGGAGCTGGAAGGGAAGCGGGGCTGCCGGGATAGAACCGGCGCCCACATGGGATCCCGGGGCATGCAAGGCGAGGACCTTAACCACTGCGTCACTGCGCCGGGCCCAACATCCAGTATCTTTTTAAAGAAATGTTTTCATGGGCCTGGCGCAATAGCATAGTGGTTAAAGTCCTCTCCTTGAATGCATCAGGATCGCATATGGGCACCAATTCATATCCTGGTAGCACCACTTCCCATCCAACTCCTTGCCTGTGGCTGGGAATGCAGTTGGGGACGGTCCAAAGCCTTGGCACCCTGCACTCGCGTGAGAGACCTGGAGGAAGAAGCTGCTGGCTCCTGGCTTCGGCTTGGCTCAGCTCCAGCCTTTGCAGCCGCTTGGGGAGTGAACGATTGGACGGAAGAGCTTCTTCTCTGTCTCTCCTCCTCTCTGTATATCTGCCTTTCCAGTGCAAATAAATAAATCCTCAAAAGAAAAAAAAGAAATGTGTTCACTTAGGAGGCAGTCATTGTGGTGCAATGAGTTAAACTATGACACCAATATCACATATCACAGCGGATTTTGAGGCTTGGCTCTTCTGCTTCCAATCCAGCTCCCTGCTCACAAACCTGGGAATATACAATAAACTGATCCAAGTGCCAGGGCCCCTGCCACCTGTGTGTGACCCAGAGTGTCTGGTTCTTTGCTTTGACCTGGTTTAGCCCAGGCTGTTGAGGCTATCAGGGGAGTGAACCAGCAGGTGGAAGATCTCACGGTCTCTCTCTTTCTCTCTCTGGTACACTGTGATTCACTGTCCCTGCCACCATGTACTCTGGTTCCTTTAGTGTTTTTGGCTCTTTGCTACTTGAAACCCCCAGATTTAGCCTTCATACTCTCTGTGAAACTGCACTGCTGCTTTTTTGGTTTGGGGTTTTTCTTGTTTGGTTGGTTTTTTTTTTTTAATTTTATTTTATTTTAGCTCTCACTTTCTGGAAGAGACATTGTCTTCCTCAATGTAGGCTGCTCATGCTTCTTAGAACACACTCGTCACAGATTTTAGCTGTGTGTTTCTATGATTTTGTTGGCTCTGTCTCCTACTAGACAGAGACTCAACAGCTAACAGAACTTGAATGAATGAATGTTTTGAATTTAGTAGGCAAATATACATCCTTATCTCACAATTTCTGTGGATCAAGAATTCAGAGGTTACTTAGTTCCATGACTGTGGTTCAAGATCTCATAAGGTCGCAGTGAAGATACCAGCTAAGGCTGACATCACTGTAAGCCCGTTTGAGGCTGGTGGATCAACTTCCAAAGTGATTCATTGACATGCTCAGTGGTTTTTGCTGACAAAAAAACCCCTCAGTTCCTTCCCCGGAGACCTGACCATGGGTCAAGAGACATTCTTAAACGTCCCCAAGTCAACGGAGCTATCCTAGATTGAGCAATGCAAAATAAACAAAGGAAAGGATAAAATATGTTTATGACTCATCATTGAAAGCCACACTCTGCCTTTTCTTCTGTATTCTATTGGTTAGAATCCAGTCCAGTTCAGTTGTGAGAGAAAATTACACAAGGACATCAATTCCAAGACGCAGGTACCTTTGAAGAATGTCTTAGAGACTACCACAGATACTGTGTGGAACATCACTGTCAGCCGTTAGTGATGAAGACACTTGCTGAGTGGTGTTGATGGAGGATGCACATACAATTTATATACATGTACACACATATACATTTGTTTTGGCTTCATACAGGAAAATTTGAGTGATGCAGGAACAGAATCCGTGTTGGGTTAAATCAGTTTTAAGGATTAACAGATGATTGTGAGGAAAGTTGTGACACTGAAATATCCAAAAGTATATCTTATTTCAACAGTTTGTGTTGTTGTTGTGTTGTTGCCTGGTCTTCAACACTGAGCTGCAACAAAGGAAAACATAGCCTCATCTCAACAGTGGTGCAGGCACATTTCACGCTGACTCTGAGAAAGTTACATTTTTTTAAGAAAGATTTTTTATTGGAAAGGCAGATTTTTACAGAGAAGTCTCCCATCCGCTGGTTACTCCCCAAATGGCCACAAAGGCCAGACCTTTGCTGATCTGAAGCCAGGAGCCAGGAGCATTTGTGTTTCCTGAATGAGTACAGGAGTGCAAGAACTTGAGCTTCAGTAGCCTTGCAAGTCTATAAACAGGAAACTGAATTGGAAATGGAACAGACAGGAAATGAACCAGTGCCCATGTGGAACCAGTTCTCCATTGCTGGTGGAGAATTAGCCTGCTATGCCATTGCTCCAGCCCTGAAAATTGCATTCTTAGTGTACCTATCTCTAACCCCTGTGGATTATCCAGCTTTGAGATGGTTAATCTCATTTAATCCTCACACTAACCCAAGGAGTTAACCACCGTTATTCTAGAAATAAAGATAGTTAAAGGGTGACATACGTTTTTCCTAGGTGGTGTAGGCCTGAATCCAAACTTGGCCTTCTGGTATAAGCATCATTCCTTTGAGCTAGAGCATTTTAACCCTGATAAATGAATGTTGTCTACATTTGTCCTCTATATCCTGTTCAAGTCTGAACACTTGTGTTGTTTACATTTGTCCTCTGTATCCTGCTCAAATCTGAAAACTTGTGTTGTGAACAGATCAACAAAACACATTGTTGGCTCAAACTTCAAAGGTCAATTGGATGCACTAAACATTAGTGTGCCTGAAATTACCAGTGTTCAGAGCAAGGTAGTGCAAATGCCCTGAACATTAGTTTCTAGGTAAAATTAGTGTAATTTTTTTCTCAACGGAAACTACCTTGATATTGAATCAAATTTAATGCTTAGCATAAAATTCCAGATTAATTTATTTGATATTTATTGCAGTTTGTTTTCTACTGTTTCAACTCTCTCCATCTTTGTTTTGTTATGGCCAGAGTAATCTTTTTTCAAATATGAATTGTTAGTGTTAGTCATGAACTTGATGAAGGTCTTTTAGTAGTTTGTCCTCATATTTAGAATAAGAACTCATGGCTTACAGACTGTTTCGTGTGGTCTTCCCCTTTCTTGCCAGCTTCATCACCTGCCACTGATTGCCTAGCTCATTCTGCTGACATCTTTGTCCTTGGAATATATTATATACCAAGCTCCTTTATGGCCTTTTGGTCTTTGTTCTTCATATGTCTTCTACCTGGTAGAACTAGACATGTTCTAAAGTTTAACTAAATTCTCCCTCTTTACTGCTCTGATGTATCTTTTCTCCAGGCGTTCTGTTAGATGCCCTCTTGCCTATTCCTTGTTCTCCTATCTGTGAAAGCATAGGCTATCTAAGTGGGGGGGATTACTCTGTCCTTGCTCAGCAGACTATCCCCAGTACCTAGTACTTAACATTGTAGCTGCTAATACGTAACACATCCTGGATGCTTTAAAAAAAAAAAAAAAGTATTCTTATTGGAAAGGCAGATCTACAGAGAGAAAGATTATTTTCTATTTGCTAGCTCACTCCCCAAGCAGCCATAATGACTAAAGTGAGCCAATCCTAAGCGTCCTCCAGGTCTCCCAAGTGGGTGTAGGGTCCCTAGATTTTGGGCCATCCTCCACTGCTTTCCCATGCCCATATAGGGAAGTGGAGCAAAGTAAGGATTTAGCCATTGAGCCATTGCACTGGGTCCCATCCTAACTGCTTGCAGAATTACTGGAGGAATGAAATGTTTCACTGATATAAGAAATTTTACTTGCTGGCAAAGTGATTATTCTTTTTTCTAGTAGTATTTTCCATAATCTTTCTGTACTTTCATTCATTGTGTCTTCTTCCTATCACCCTCCTCTCTAATTTGTGTATTACTTTATAGCCAACCACATACCACTGCTTCATGCATTTATTTTATCGGTTGTCAAACCCCATTCATTTTTTGTTTTACTTATCAACTTTTAAATCTGAATCACTGCCATCTCTTTTGCTGCTGTTTTAAAATTGAAAAAAAAAAGATGAATTTATTTTTATGTCAAAAGCAGATTTACAGAGAAGGGAAGTCAGAGAGTGAAAGACCTTCCATCTGCTGGTTCATTTCCCCAAATGGCTGTTAACAGCTGGCGCTGAGATAATTCAAACCTGATGGTAGCAGCTTTTTCTGGGTCTCCCACATGCGTACAGTGGCCCAAGGCCTTGAACCATCCTCTATTACTTTCCCAGGCCCTAAGAAGGGAACTCTATCAGAAGTGGAGCAGCTAGGACTAAAATCAATGTCCATATGAGATGCCGGTGATTCAGGCAGAGGATTAGCTGGTTGAGTCAGTGTGCTGACACTCCTTTGCTTCTTAGAAATCTTTATAAGCTCTCATTACTTGGTAGTAGTAAGTGTTCTTCTCGTTCCATCTTAACTCAGTATATCTTTCACATTAGACTGAATTCATGGTTTTTCTTTGTATCTCTTACAACATCTAACTCTGCAATTACTCTCCTTGTAGTAGACATTCAGTGAATGTTCACTGAATGCCCTATTTCAAGGAAGTAGAGTTCATGGGCCATGTGATTATTTAATGGCTCTTCCTTGAAGAGAATTGTGCTTAAATAATTCCTCTTTATTCCTGTTGTAAAGAAGCTGTAGCAAGTCTTTATTGTCCATTGTTCTTAATGAACTACTTCAGTGACTACAGTCACATAATATACCATGGGAGAATTTCACAGTAGACTTTTGTGTTTGCCTTTAGAAGAATTAAAGTAATATCTGTGCTTTCTGTTAAAAGTATTCTTTTTTTTTTCTCTCCCTCCTTAGATAGAGTCTCCAATGAATTTTGAGTGGCTGAGAAATTTGAGAAAAAAATAAGACGCATTCCCTTCCATGGATCCCTTGGGTGCACCTTCCCAGTTTGTGGATGTAGATACACTACTCAGCTGGGGTGACTTGTGTGAAGATGAATTAAATTCTTCTGATACTACAGCTCAAACATTTCCAGAGGACACTACTAGATCACCTTTTCTCTATAATAAGGATATCAATGGGAAAGTGGTTCTATGGTAATTTCTTATTATATCACTCTTTTGATTGATTATATGATTTTCTCGTGATTTTTTTTCCTAAAGCCTTTTTGTTGATCTTATCATTGCTGAAATATTGCTCTACACATGCACTTGCAGGTTAGTTAACAACGCACAATAAGCTGCACATATTGGAAGTGCATGACGTGACAGGGCTTCACACACAGTGTACATCTATATCACAATCAGCACAGGGAGTATATTCATTTCCTCCCAGGGTCTGGTTTTGTTTGATTTTTGGTAATCCTGCCTCACGCCTCAAGCAACTGTTGATCTTCCTGCCACTGGAGAGCAGTTGGGATTTTTTTATTTAGAGTTTTGCAGAAATGGAACCGTGTATATTTTTTGCATCTTGCCCCATTCAGTGTAATTATTTGTAAGTCCATGTAGTTCATTCAGTGTTACTTGTAACAGAAGTTCATTGTTTTTTAAAAATGGCTTTATTTAGAAATTACAAACTGTATAATAAAATTACAAAATCCAGTGTTTTTTTGAAATGGCCATAGAGATGCACAATCACCACAGGCAGTTTTAAAATAATTCACGAGCCCAAAACCCTGTACATATTTGCAGGCAATTCTCACTTCCCTGCAATTACCAGCTCTAGGCAACCACTAATCTACTTTGTAAAATTCCTGTCCTGAACATTTCATATAAGTGGAATCCATGCAATAAAATATGTGGTTTTTGCAACATAATACTTTCAGGGTTCATTCACATTTTACAGATTGGGGGTCCTAATCTGACGATGTGAAATGCAAATTTCACATTTCAGTAAGGTCAGTGTGGGCATCCCCAAATCAGAAAGCCTTCTAAGTGTGAATCTTTTCTGGACTTGAGCAATCAAGGAATATTCAAAGCGTAGTACAGATCAACACTTAATTCCTTTTTATTGCTGAATAATATTCACTTATACCAATATACAACATTTATTAGTTTTTTACTTGGTAGACATTTGGGTTATTTCTTATTTTCAGCTGCTGTGCATAAGGCTGCTAGAAACCAGCTTCTTTCAACTGTAAGCATTTGTTACAATGAGAACTAGGTTAGAAGCCAGAGTGTAACATTATGCTTTTGTGCCTTTCAGGGTTATTGGCAGTTGTATTAAAGATGCATTGAAGATCTTTAGTTTTTTGATTCAGGAATTCCTTTTCTCCTATTGTTAGTCTGTGAGTTGTCAAAACCAGTGTTATACAAGGCGATAGCAACAGAGAGCTTAAAAGAATTGGGAAATAGGTTTCTTATCTCCTGTTTTGCACACTTTATTACCCATCAGGAAAGGAGATGTAGCATTACTGAACTGTACAGCCATTGTGAATACCAGCAATGAAAGTCTCACCGACAAGAATCCTGTTTCAGAAAGTATCTTCATGCTTGCAGGGCCTGATTTGAAAGAGGACCTTCAGAAACTTAAAGGTGAGTAAAATTTTCACAGGTAAATTGTTGTTTGGGAAACTGTTAATGTCCTTTACTTTGAAAAAGCCTATTTTGGGCCCGGCGCGGTGGCGCAAGTGGTTAAAGGTCCTCGCCTTGCACGCCCGGGATCCCATATGGGCGCCGGTTCTAATCCCGGCAGCCCCGCTTCCCTTCCAGCTCCCTGCCTGAAAAAGCCTATTTTGCATTAGACTGAGAAAGTTATGTAGAGGGCTACTTTTTCTTTTGTTAAAACTATTTTTTAATGTATTTTTCTTAAATGCCAAATAAAAAGTGAGAGAGGGAGAGACACAAAGAGAGTGAGAAATCTATCAACTGGTTCGCTCCCCAGATGGTCACAATGGCCAGGTTTGTGCCAGACCAAAGCCAAGACCCTAGAGATTTTTCCAAATCTCCCACATGTGTGTAGAGGGCGCTAACACTGGGGCCGTCTTACATTGCTATCCCAGCCACATTAGTAGGGAAGTGGATTGGAAGTAGAGCAGTTGGGACATGAACTGGTAACCACATAAAATGCTGGCATTATGCATGTCACCTTCTCCCACTTACCACAGCGCTGATCCTGAATCTAAATTTTAAAAAGCCTTTGAAACTTGTGGGTTTTTTATTTTTACTGTTTTTTGTTTTTTTAATTTTGATGATCTTTATGTAGTTGATTAGGGCTGAAAGGGTCAAGGACTACAGCAAAGTGAGTGAGACCATTGTTTCTACATTCTGTTTTCCTTCCTCTATCTGGGAGAAGAGGAGAGACAAAGGGAGAAGTCACACCCATTCTTCCAACCATCCCCCATGGTTGGGGTCCCTGACCTGGGGCATGCTCAAAGGGTCCTACTCAAGTGATTTCGATAGTTCAGCTGTTCTGAATTGCTGCCAATTTCGCCATTCCAACCACATGGAATCTTCAGAATCCACTTGCTGTCATAGTCCACCTTAGCATCTCTACTTGCCCAGATTTTCACTACCAACACATGGCTGGCGTAGCTGATCTATTTGTTCTGTCCTCTGTCATGGTACTAGGTGTCCTCTGCAGCCTCCAAGGTACTGCCATATCCTCCATGTGCACCTGAATATGCTCTCCACTGCTCCGTCTGAGCCACGGAGGTGGCTCCGCTTTGACACAAGCACTCTACAGTCAGACCATGCACCCGCAATTCTCTTCATGATTGGGGTTCTGAGTCCGGCAGTTCAATTGGGAGGATCCCCAAAGAAACTTCATCTGAAATTTTAGTAATCAGTAAAACTCTTTGTCTTCTTCCTGAATTTTAAAATGATAGTTGTCCCAGCAGAATAGGTCTTTTGTATCATTTTCCTCCATATATATTGTGTTTCTGGAATAAAGATGAAACTGAAAAGCTTAATATGACTTGATATTGATGAAGGATTTCTTCATACCCTCAGCAGTAAACATACTATTATACTTCTGAAATGAAAATTGACTTATAATTTAAGCCATAATTGGTTGCAAAAGTAAATATATTCTCAGTTATTTTGTACTTGCTATTATTTATTTTTATCAGAATGCTCCTGTGAATGTTTCTTTAAACAGATTAAAACAAATTGGTTCAGAATTTGCTTTTGAATTAACATTTGTTTTAAGTTAACAACCTAGAAGCCCTTTGCTGTTACTTGAATTCAATATAAAATGTATGAATACAAATTTATTAAATGTAGGAAGTATAGTAACATTTCTTAGAATGTAAACAGCAGATATCACCTGTGTAAAATCTTACTTTCTTTGGCTTTTACTGTCTTAACAGTGACAGCTATTTTCTACTTCAATAAATATTGGAATCTGAACAGGAATACTTCTAATGCTGGATCTAAGGAAGAAGAGGGAGAAAGAGAATAGCTGTATCACCTGTTAAAAACATCCGAATTTTGCCTGAAAGGACAGAGGGAAAAATCCTTAATTAAACTGCATGAGGATCAGGCATGAATTATTAAATGCTAAGGATTCTTTGTTAAAACTAATAGAGAAGTTGATCTGGAAGGGTTCCTCATGATATGCCTGTGTGTGTGAATTTTCACATACACTCTAGAATTATAAGTAATAATTTTAAAAATTTTAATACAAGGATATAAATAAAACCTTTATTTAATGCTACAAAATTGCGAGTCTCACACTGTCTGCTAGTTAATGTTTTGCTCAAGTTCAGTTGCTTCTTCTCTGTGTCCACGTTTCTTTGCTTTTAAAATGGCAGTAATAATTTCTATGTCAGTTCCTGGCCCATAGGAAGAAGTTATGTCCTGAAGGATTGAGAACCTAGTCCTGTTCCCCTTCTTACAGTTTATTAACAACTTCATGAATAATTACATAGTGTGACTTAGTAAAATCTAGGTGATACTAAATTGGTAGGAATTATAGGAAATATTAGGTGATAGGCTACCAAATTTCAGATAGCTGCACTATTTGAAGTATGTACTGAAAGATGAAGGAATTAATGTAGGTGAATGTAAAAGATTTACAAGAAGTTCACAACACAATTATCCGTGTTCAGGAAATGAAAGCATGCTTTGACAAGTATCTCAGCAAAATTCCATTGTGTCCTCATTCCATTTTTCTTTTTTTAAATAGCAGATTTATTTTTTTATTTTTGAAAGGCAGAATTAACAGACAAAAAGAAAGAGATATCTTTCTAGTTCACTTGCTGGTCTCAAAAGAGCGGGAGCTGGGCTGGCCCAGCCAGGATCCAGGAGCTTTCCCCAGCAATCCTGCTGGGCGGGAGGTGTCCAAGGTGGGCGTCTTCTGCTGTCCCAGGCACCTTAGTAGAGAGCTGGAACAAATATATTTATATTATTTATATTAGATAAATTTCTAGCTATGGAGATGTAAATTATAGAAAATATACATTTACACAGAGTGTGAGTAAATGCTTAAAATTTCTAGGATACAATTTTACCATTCTTTTTTTTTTTAAGATTTATTTTATTTTTTTATTGGAATTCTCTAAGTAGCCTCAACTGCCAGAGTTAAACCAATCCTTAGCCAGGAGGTTCTTCCAGGTCTCCCACATGGGTGCAGGGTCCTAAGACTTTGGGCCATCCTCCACTGCTTTCCCAGGACACAGGCAGGGAGCTGGAAGGAAGGTGGAGCAGCCGGGACACCACTGGTGCCCATATGGGATCCTGGTTGGTGGAGGCTGAGGATTTAGCCACTAGGTTACCATGCCAGGCCCACAATTTTAGCATTCTGATGTGTATTCGCCTGTGTCTCTCTGTGGGTGAGTAAGGATATACACACACGCACACGCACACTTGTTTTGATAGCTTTTATTACCAAAAGTAAAATAATCGTATGTTTACTATTCTCAAAGCAAGATAATTGTGTATATGTGCTTTTTTGCATTTTGCCTTTTTCAGCAAATGAATTCCTTGTTTTAATTGCAGAAATTACATCTAATACTGAAACTATGTTCACAGCTTCCCCTTGGCTCAGAACTATATTTTGTAGCTAAAGTATACTTTCTAGCTTGTTGTATCTTAACCTGTATCCAGTCCAGGACTACACACTGCACCTTATTGTTATGACTCTTAATTTGTATGTGTGGTATTCAGTTCGCAGCAGTCCCTTTTTTATGGTGGTTACTTAGGTGAAGTAACCCATTATTTTCCAAGATATTCTGACTTCTACATTGGTCTGATTTACTTGTGTTGCCATTTAATTTGTATTTCTTATAACCTAGTAGAATCATTTTGACTAAAACATGTCACTTACAGGTAATACTGTATTGTATGTTTAATCATAAGTGAAGAACTGTAAAATCTGATTGACTTGCGTTGGGCCGTTCAAGATAGCTAGGTTGATGATGACATACTTGGGTAATGGCAGCCTGATCTCTCCAGTTAGACAGTTTTACCCTTCTGGGTGAGAACTAATCTCTGGCTTTATTTTAGACTCTGGATGTCCAGGTGCTGATCTCATGATCACCGAATGTTTTAACACCAGGTGACACTGTGTTTCTGATTCAGTCTTTTCACTAAGAATATAATGTTCTGTTTTCTGAAAATGTTTACTCAGAACAAGTTTTTCCTGATTAACTGTTGAGTTATAGTTGATTATTATGAGCACAGTTCTGTTGGACATGCCTGGAAAATGATTAATTCTTTTAATTACCAATTACAAAAATAAGGATTTGTTTAATAGTTGTTTCAAATGGTGATTTTTCTGGCCTTCTGGTTTTTGAGCCTCAGTTTGTGCTTGTGCTTACAGCTTTCCAATAATATGCTGAAACTATTGATTTTTTAAAATTTGTTGTCTTTCCTGGAGAAGCGGGAAATTAAACGATTTCATCTGCCCTCCCCTTTCTCAGATACATACAATATACATTATTCCTTTTTTTGCCATTTTTTTAATCGTTCTGCCACAATTTTGATTAAATTATTAATTGATGTTTGGGTGGGCGTTACTCGTAACTGATTATTAAATGGATTAGTAGTAGTCTCTTGTATAGCTTTTTTCTTTAGGTTATTTTTAAAATATATTTCTTTTTTCTTGAAAGTCAAAATTAGAGGGGTGGGGGAGAAACAGAAAAAAATCTTGCAACTGCTGGTTCACTCCTCAAATAGCCTTCTTGATTGGAGCTGAGCTGGTCAAAACCCAGGAACCAGGAACCTCCTCTGGGTCTCCCATATGGGTACAGGGACCCAAGCATCTGGACCATCTACCGACTTCCCAGGACATCAACCAATGCTTACACAAAATGCTGGCACCATAGACAGAAGCCCTAGTACCGGGCCATTCTCCCCTACACTCCCAGGCTCATTTTCAGAGAACCGGATCAGAAGGGAAGCAGCTGGGACTCGAACCTGTGCTCACATGGGTTGCTGGCTCAACCCCACACTTTTAAATATAGCTATAAGCCTCCCTCAGTGTGATCATATGCTTCATCTTTTAGTTCCACGTTTTGCTTAGTAAAGCTCTTCCTGTTAACCTGTGTCTTCTACCCCTCTACTTCCTCTCTAGACTGTTCCATCTGTCTGCTGCTCTATTACTGCCCTGGAACTTAAAAAAAAACAAAACAAAACAAACAAAAAAAAACCCGAAAAAACATCTCTTGGGACATCCTTTTTAAATCCTTTTTCCTCTTTAATGAACTGGACCTCTTCCTCTGCCACTAGATCTTATATCTCTTTGTTGTAGGTCTTCAACTTTCTGGGTACATCCACCAGGAGGTTTCTGAGAAGGGAATGTAATACAGAATTACTAAATCTTAGTTCTACATTCATATCTAATTAGGAATAGAATTCGAATTTGACAGTCATCTTCTAGAATTTTAAAGGCATTGTTTTTTGATGTTTGCCACTGGGAAGTCTGATGGTATTCTTTCTCTTGATTATTTGTTCTTAATTTGTTCCTAGAAGCATCATGATCTCATCTTTATTTCCAGTCTTCTGAAATTTCTAAGACATGCACTTTTATGTGGTTTGGGTGTCTGTGGGTGCATTGAATCAAAAAACTCATTTCTTTTAGTTCTGGGAAATTTCTTATTTTATTTCATTAGTAATTTACTTTCTGTTCGTTCTCTTGAAATTCTGTTAGATGTTTTACTTCCTTTTTTAGTCCTCTGATTTTCTTTTTTTCTTTTGTTAACTATTATTTAAGTTGTTATTCTCTATCTTTTACGTTCTGAGAGATTTTCTCAAGTTAAACTTAGACCTTTCATTGAACTTTCCTGCTGTCACATTTATATATATATATATATATATATATATATATATATATATACATATATATATATGTAAACACACACACACACTTATACGCCATTTTGGCTTTGTTTCAGAGGTATTAAATGAGCAGACTTTAGAATGTTGATGGAAAATGGAATTCAAGATGAGCTTATTTTAATGCCAAAAATCTTGAAAACCATGCACAGTGTTCTCATAACATTTTCTGTGGACTTCTTGAACAATGAAATTTACCTGGCTCTCAAAAATTTTCTGCCCTAAAATAAACATGTTAATTCCATTGCCTGTAAATGTTTTGAAGTATATGTATGTCTCTTTCAGTGAGAGTTGTAAGAATGGTGTTAACAAATCTTAGAAGATTTTACTTATTTTAAGAAGGGGATAGAGAGAGAACTTTCATTCACTGGTTCATTCCCCAGTTGACTGCAGTGACAGGTACTTGGCCTAGCCAAAGACCAGAGCCTGGAACCGGGAACTTCATCCTGTGAGTGTCCTGTGAGTGGCAGGGCCAAACACTTGAGCCATCTTCACTGCTTTGCCCAGGCTGTTAGCAGGGAATTGGATCAACAGTGAGGCAGCAAGGACTCCAGCCAGTGCCCATAAGGAATGCCACCATTGTCATCCCAAAATACTGGCCACTGAGATTTTTGTTTTATTTCACTTTTCATTTCCTTCTCTGCATTGTCTTGAGTATTTGTTTTATTCCCCTTGTGTTTTTGCTAGAGGCTAATGTTACTTCCTGATGGTTCTTAAATGATAGTTTTATTTACAAGAGAGAGAAACTGATATACTATTGAAGAGTTCTGTCTGTGAATCTTAGTTTGTTAAAGCAGCTATAGCACTTTGGACTGGATTGCTGATAAAATTTTGTTTCTCACAGTGCTGGTGGCTGAAAGTTGGAGATCAGGATGTCAGCATGGTCAGGTTTTAGTGCCGTGCCCCCTTTTAGGATGCTAATGGCAACTTGTCACAGCTTCATGTTGCGGAGGAATCAGACATTTGAGAGATACCAACCTACAAGTATCTGAATGCCTTTCATGAGGATTCCCTCAACCTCTTGTCATGCTTGTTTCCCCCTACTCCCCACTCTCTAATACCGTCACATTATGGGGTTGGGTTTCAACATGTGAATTTCAAGAATTGAGTCCATAATAGTTAGCAGAGTTTATTGCTTTGTAGGAAGGAAGCAGATGATAGAGCTAGAGACCTGTTTAATAAAGGTCCTTTGATTTGAGCCTCTTAAATATCTGGAAAGAAACTTGAGGATTGTAAGCCTGTGGGGTCTTTTTTTGAAGCTAGTTATGGGCAAAGGTCTAGTCCCTTCTCTGTTAAGTATAAAATGTTAATATAATCTTCCCTTTGCAGCTGTGCTGTAAGTTCTGGATTTCAGAAACTCTGTAGTTCAGCATCTTCAGAAAACGAAAGTCCTCTCTTATGTTAGGGAGTAATCATCACTTTGCTGTACAGGTTAGGGCAGGGGTTGCTGCAGTCTATCCTCTTTATGGACTTTGAAAGTACTGTGGGCCTCCAGCTACTGAGCCCTTCTAGTATTCCCCAGTAAAAACAACAGTAATAGACGACACTCAGCAGGAATTTGAGGCCTGACAACACCAAGCATCTGCCCAGAATACCACACAGGAACCTAATGGACCCAGGATCTGATTCAAAGCAGTCTGTCAGATTTCATCAGTGCTGTTCAGCACGGATCAGCCTGCTTTATTCTGGTCACCCCATTCCTGCAAGCAGTTAAGGATCTCTGCTCTGGATGTCAGTCATTACTAGTTCGTTGACTGTCTTCTAGAATTTGGATGATGCTTATTTGTTTCCAGTTTACTCCCATTCTGTTTGTCTCCACACTTACACCTGTCGTTGTATTGCTTTCACGATCATTGTGGAACAGAAGGAACAAATGCTTGTGTTCAATACATCTTTTAAACTGAAGTGTCTCGAAATTCTTGATACTTTGTTTTATGCATCGATTTGTTGTCTCATTTCTCTAGTCCCATGTATGGTTCTGTTGTTGCCAGGTTGCCGAACAGGTGAAGCCAAATTAACCAAAGGATTTAACCTGGCTGCCCGGTTCATTATTCACACAGTGGGACCTAAATACAAGAGCCGCTATCGCACAGCAGCTGAGAGCTCCCTGTACAGCTGCTATCGAAATGTGCTTCAACTGGCAAAGTACGCTCTCCTTATTTCCTGAATTTGTCATGCCATGTATTGTGAAAAGCCCCAGTTTTATGAACTTTTAAAAAATATTTGTTTGTTTGGAAGATAGAATTATAGAAAGAGAGGGAGAGACACAGAGAAATCTGTTTCCTGTTTCATTTCCCAAATGGCCACAACAGCCAGGTAAACCCCAGGTTGTTTCTTTGTTTTTAAGATTTATTTATTTTTATTTGAAAAGCAGCATTACAAAGTGAGAAGGAAAGAGAGCAAGAGATCTTCCCTCCACTAGTTCAATCTCCAGATAGCCACAATGACCAGAGCTGAGCTAGTCTGAAGCCAAGAGCCAGGAGCTTCTTCCAGGTCTACCATGTAGTTGCAGGGGCCAAGCACTTAGACCATATTCTGCTACTTTTCCGAGCACATTATCAGAAAGCTGGATGAAAAGAGGAGCACTGAAATGGAAGGCTGGCTCTGCAGGTAGAGGCTTAACGTGCTGGCCATGGTGCCATCCCCCAAAGCCCCAGTTTTAAAGATGAGGAACTTTGATAATTTAGTAGAACTCTGTGATAGAACTAATAACCTTTACAGGCTTACTAAGATAAATCAGATAGATTTGGCTAAAATTTCAATCTGTTCCCTTTTTATTCCCTTTAACCTGAAGTAATATATATCTTAAATTTTAGTATTATTAAGTTATATGTTAATATAATTATTAAATGATGCAGCTCGAGTAACTGCTAGAGATTTGTTAAAGAGATGGGGAAGAAGTTGAGCTACATTTTGAAACCAGTTATGTATTGTTATATACGTATTACGAATGTCTGTAGTACAGTTCTTGTGTTTCTGTTTGATTGCAGAGAGCAGTCGATGTCTTCCATTGGATTCTGTGTCATCAACTCTGCAAAAAGAGGTTACCCTCTAGAAGACGCAACACACATAGCCCTTCGTAAGTGATACCGGAGGTGCAACATGAAAATCAGTCTTAAAACATTTTCACCAATAGTCATGTAGTTCCAGCCAGAGAACAATCATTGGCTAACTAGAATGAACTCATCAGCGAACTAATGACAGTCTGGAAGGAAGTGTCTATTGAGGGTTTACAGATTTCTCAGCTTACTTTCTTGAGTTGACATTTTGTCATTTTTAGTCAACATAAACCAAAAGCTATTTGATGTTCAGCTTAAGAAAGTCCAGGATCTAACTGAATTACATCTGAATTCAAAACACATACCTAGTTTTGTATGTAGTTTATGTAGTTCTGGAATTAATAGTTCATGAGACATTGACAGACAGGACAAACGCTTTAAAACATTAGTGATTGTCCTAGAGAAGAGCATGCTTTCAGCCCCTGTGTATCCAAAGGAGTCACTGCAGACTTACGCTGCGCTTCCATCTGTTAAGCATGGGCTTTGGGCAGCGGTGTCGCGAGAGTGTACATAAATACAGAATGTTTATGCTATTTCAGGATTTTACAAGTGCTTGTAGGCTTTTACATTACTTCAGCTACAGAATACAAATCTAAGACCAGGTTACAAGGAAGGAGAGTCCAATTCCATTTCAGATCAAACATAACAGAAGAATTTTTGCTAAAATCCTTCTCACTGGCAGCACTCACTCAGGCAAAGGTTTCTTCACCATCTGTTGCAACTATCGTAGAGGATGTTTATTGTTTGGAAGGAAAACCATATCCTGTCAAATTTGAGATCAGAGTTGATAGGAAAAGAACTCAATGTCGTGTCATATCCACCCAAATTAACAAAGTTCTCCGGTGATATAGAATTATTACTTGGAGTTTAAAATGAAGGACCCATATGGTCTTAAATAGTTCTGTAAAATTATAAAGTATCTTAAAAATGAGTCTCTTATTTTTAGAAGATCTGTTTGTTTAAAAGGCATAGTTACAGAAAAAGAGGGTGGAGCAGAGAGAGAAAGAAAGTCTTCCATCTTGCTGACTCACCTCCAAATGTCTGCAACAAGTCAGGAGCCAGGAGTTTATCTGGGTCTTATATGGTTGCAAGGGCCCAAACACTTAGGCCATCTTCCACTGCTTTCCCAGGTGCCTTACCAGAATGGTGGATCAGAAGTGGAGCAGCTGGGACTTGAACCAACCTTCATATATGATGCTGGCACTGCAGGCAGCAGCTTACCCTGCTTCTTTAGTCCCAAAGTGATTATCCTTGCTAGTTAAGAATTTTGCTGTATATTTATGCATATAATAAATGCAAGTGTGTATTTTTAATAAGAAGACAAATTGCAAAAACAACCCTGTGTCAGTTTGAGATAGTGTGGTGTCTATCACAATCAGGTTTCAAGTGGTAAGACGTGGAACGAATATCCGGGCCTAGTGACTTTTTTTTTAATTGTTTTTTTTAACTGCTTCTCAGCCTCTTGGCTAAGATCAAGTGTAAGACTGTTTATTTTTTGTGTGTGTGTGAAAAAGCAGAATTGCAGAGAGAGGAGAAGAGACACAGAGAGACCTTCCATCTGCTAGTTCACTTCCCCAACTGGCCATAACATCTGGGGCTGGACCAGCCCTGAACCAGGAGGCAGGAGCTTTTTCTCTGTTAACCATGTGGATCCAGGGTCCTGAGAGAAGATCAGTGACAGAAAGAGAAAAGAAAAAAAAGCATCCTTTTGCTGGTTCACTCCCCAAATGGCCACAAAAGTAGGGCCTGAGCCAGGTCAAAGTCATGAGCTTCTACCAAGTGTCTATCATGGATGCAGAGGCCCAAGCGCTAGGGCCATCTTCCACTGATTTAGTAAGTAAACAGCTGGGTCTCGAACCTGCACATATATGGGATGCTTGTGTCCTAGGCAGAGGCTTACCCTGCTACATCATGATGCTGGCCCTGCCCTGTGACTCTTATGTCTGATCACCTGTTAGACTAGGTAGCTCATTGTGCTTAAGTAAGAACCGTCTAAGTAGACTACTGTGTTATAACTTGCACATCTTCTAAGTGGTGCCTTTCCAAATGAGAAACCAATTCCTGCCTTTCTATTATTCCTTCTGTCAGAGCTTTCGGATAATCTTGATGTTCAGATTCATCTTAGCACTTTCCTGTTATTTCATGATTTCCATATTTCCTTTCTTGTTAAGAGTAATCATAAGGCTTAGAACTTAAAGAGGACCATGACTTTTTTTTCCTGTTGTTTAAGATTGCTTTATTTGAAACGCTGAATTACCAAGAGAAAAGGAGAGACAGAAGAAATTTCCATCCACGGTTCATTCCCCAAATCGCCACATTGGCCATGGATAAACTGGGCCAGCCCAAAGCCTGGAGCTGAAATCTCCATCTCCTACGTGGATGCCCAGGGCCCAGCCATTTGGTACATGTTTCACTGATTTCCCAGGTACATTATCAAGGAGTTGGATCAGAAGTGAAACAATTGAGGCTTGAACTGGTGCTCTGAAATGCGATCACAGTATCACAAGTAGTTTAACTGACTGAAACATAACATTGGCCCCAGAGGCATCAGTTTTTACTAATATAATTGAACAGAGAGCCAAGATGATTACTCTGTGGTCCCAGATAGATCACTTAATATAGTGCCATAAAAGCCAATTTGGCAGTGATAAATAATAGCAACTATGAGTCGACAGTGGCTATAAGCAAATCTAATGAAGCAATTTCTGGGATTTGTTTTAAAGATTTATTTGTTCTTCTTGAAAGTCAGAGTTAAGACAGAGAAACAGAGGGAGAGAGATCTTTCATCTGCTGGTTCACCCCTAGAGACAGTCCGAAGCCAGGACCCCAGGGTCTCTTCCAGCTCTCCCAAGTGGGTGCACTGTCCCAAAGCTTTTTGGGACCCATCCTCGATGCCTTCCCAGGCCACAAGCAGGGAGCTGGATGGGAACCCATATGGGATTCAAGCTGAGGATTTTAGCTGCTGGGCTGCCACACTGGGCCCAAGAAAGAATGATTTTTATTTGAAAGGTTGAGTTACACAGAAAGATGAAAATTTAAAATTGTGTAGGCAGAACTCTTGGGACAGCATTTTAAAAGGATGAGGTTACAAAAATTAAATACTAAAGCAAGTTGAGAACTGCATAAAGGCCACTATTTGAAAAAATTGTCAGAAAAAATATGGAAATGAAGAAGCCGTAATTTGGCTTTGGTTTTGTCAGAGGATTAAGTCCGACTAGGACATCTAATACTGTGACTGAATGGATGGAAAGAGACTTGTAATGGGTCACTGTGGTCAGAACAGGCTATAGGCAGCAAGAATGTGCTGGGGAGAGGAGAAGTGTCTGGAGCCAGGCACCGTTGCAGACACTGGGAATGGAGCAGAAATAAAGTTCCTGCTGTTGTGAGCTCTCATTCTGCTGGATAAAGAGGAGAGAGCAAGAGGACACCTCACCAACAAGGAATCCTGCAAAACCCACCAGAGAAGAGTACTGACACAGGCTCCCCAGGCTGAGCTCACCACGACAGTGACTGAATCACGGAAACAAAACCTACAGCTTGCTCTTTCTTTTCATGTAAATTCTTTTCTGTTGGGTAATCATTTTGTACTTTTTCCTAGGCACTGTAAGGAGATTCCTAGAGATTCATGGAGAAACCATTGAAAAGGTCGTATTTGCTGTCTCTGAACTTGAAGAGGTATTTTGCTAATTGTATTGTTTAAATTCAATTTTTACTTTTGAATGTTTTTAGTTGTCTTATCATATTTACTGAGGTTCTAGCAGACAAATCCTAATTATATATATTTCATAGTTGGACTTGATCATTCATTGAAAAAGATTTTGTTGGAAAGTATAAGTCAAAAAGGGTATTTTGTTGATATTTTTCACTGTTGAACTGCAAGTGACATCTCACTTGGTAGAGGTGCGCTGCTCTGCACCTTCTGTCAGCCCTCAGGGCGCCACCTTTCACCTGTACTCTACGTAGCTGAGCAGCATAACTGGAAGACTGCCCGGGTGCTGGGAAATTGGTGCTGTTCCCTGACCTGGAAGCAAGTGCTGAGTCACCTTCAGGTCTGGAGTTGAGCAAATTGTGAGATGCTCATGTTTTGTTACACACAGTTAGGCCTAGTTTTAATTCAAAACCATTTTAGAAGAGCATCTGTTTTGTCATATTACATTTTATGTAGTCATAGAATATTCCATCCAATTTAGCTTCTAATATTTCCCAGTTGTATCTGAACAAGTTACTTCATTGCCTTTGCTTTGGTATAATAGGACAGGGATTCTATGTATAAACGTTAAAAAAAGAGTGTCTTTAGACTTCTTGTAAACCTTCTTGTAAAATGATGCAAGACTGAACAGTACAGGACAAATGAATAATAATTTTTGAATGATTTTGTAATTTCTGGAATAATGATTCCATCACTGTTTTGTTTTCTTACTCTAATCTAGCCTTTTTTCATATAACAGAATATTTGATGAGTAGGGCCATTACAATAAAACAATTCCTGGGATGGTGCGAAGACAAAATGCTTCAAAATGCAGGCAAAGTAAGAACACTGAACACCTGTAGCATGGATTTATAAAGTCCAGTGGACAAATCTGTATGAAAATTGTGAGATGAAATTTATTTCATTAAGAAAAAAATGTAAACTTCTAAAAAGGGTAAAATCCATGAAATTGCGGTTCTTTACAAATAGAAATGATCAGGAAAAAATCCATAAAAAACAAAACCCTCATGCTGTCATGACACACTGAGGGAAAAGGAAGTAGCATCTGGTGGCTGTTGAGATTACTCAGTTTGCTAATCTGCTACCTGCAAGTGCCACCATCCAGTTAAGGCACTTGTTCGTTCATGTTCTGGGTTGCTCCACTTCCCATCCAGCTCTCTGCTTGTGGCCTGGGAAAGTAGCAGATAATGGCCCAAAGCTACGGGTATGGGACTCTGCACTTACATGGGAAACCCAAAGGAGGCCCCTGACTCTTGGTTTCACATCGGCTCAGCTCTTTCTTTTGCAGCCATTTTGCGAGTGAACCAGCAGAAGGAAGATATTTCTCTCTGTCTCCTTCTTTCTGTAAATCTGCTTTCCCATTAAAAATAAATAAATAAATAAAAGGAAGTAGCATCTGATCAAGTCATCTCAAAATGAAGATGCCCTCAATGAGTGAAGGCACCCAAGGTTCAGTGATCTGGAGTTGGCAGCGTGACATTGCACTTTACTTGACTAACTGCCAGTATCCAGATCTTTAATGTAAGAGCTGCATGAAGTTCCCAGACAGCACATCCGCTGATCTCAGAAGTGATAGGTCCTCACTCCTGGTTTGGCAGAGGCTGCCTTCCTAGCGTCTGAATAGCACTCAGCACCGCTCAGGCTGTGTCCTCTCTTCCGAATTTTTCACAGAATGACTTGCTTTTCTGACACAGGCTACTTACCAAAAGCTGCTACCTCTGTACTTCCCAAGGTCATTGAAGGAAGAGAGTCGATCGTTGCCATACCTACCTGCAGATATTGGAAATGCAGAAGGTGAGCCTGTGGTACCTGAGCGGCAGATCAGGATAAGTGAGAAACCTGGTGCTCCAGAGGGTGAGTTCTAGAGTTCTTCCTTTCTGAATTTTCCTTGTAGAGCATCACAACCAATGATGTGGGAAGTTTACCTTGACCCTTGGGAAACTATTTGCATGACTCAGAGCCCTGGTCTTGTTGAGTCTGATGCTTTCGATCATTTTTTTTTTTTTAAGATGTGTAGCTGTCTGTAGGCATGTAGGTAGATACTTCACCTGTCTGTGTCAGGCAGTAAGGATTCAGAGCTTCATGTAACAGTGTTCTCATCATGTAGTCCCATAAAAGACAAGAAAGTAGTGTATCATATAATCTTTTAAACAATTTAACAGTGACTATTAAAACCTCTAACTTTAATACTATGGCAAGGATACTGCAACCAGCTATTTTGTTTGTTTAAAAGGTATACGCACACTGGGTGGAGTGGTGGTGATAGCCCTGTGAATCTGTTCCATGCAACAGATTGTGCTGATCTTCACACATATGTATTTAGATTAGACATCTTCTGTGGAGACCTGCCTCATAAGCTTTATTGGTAGAACATATCTTGAAGCCTAGCAATTTAGGGAATTACTATGAAATTCCCATTATAAGCACTGTTTTGAAAAAATGAACACCACATTAAAACATGTAAAATGATACTTGACTCTGTTTTAAATTACGTATTTTAACTATTTGAGAGGCAGAGAATTGCTATTCAGTGATAACTCCACAATTACCCGCAACAGCCAGCTTAGTGCTTAGCCATGCCAAAGCTGGGAGCCCAGTAATCTATCTAGGTCTTTTACGCGAGTGGGAAAGACCCAGCTAGGGTCTCTTAAGTCTGGCAGTGGCAGGTGGAGGAGGACATTACATATTCCACTGCCTTCAGACAATATGGTGATAGAAAGGAGTTTTGCTGGAAGACTACCCAGGGGCTTTAGGGAACTCTGCAGTAGAGTAGATACTTGAAATACACCAGTCATTTGAACTCCTCATTTCTGTGAGCACCACTGCGTTATGTTTCTCCTGCATGACGTGCATTAGTTTGATGGTATAAGCAACAGCAGATACTGGGCAGTAGGCGAGATGTTTTAACCAATCCTCAGAGTGCTTGACCTGCATTCACATCTCTGAAAACAAAGTTTGCTCATAAATATTTTCAACTAATGTAATAAGTCTGTTAGAAATAAATGCTTTTTTGCAGAAAGGGGAATTGATGAAATACCATGATTTCGTGGGTATGTTGTAATGAAAGCAACCTGTCCAAGCTTTTGCCCTATCCCAGTTTGAGGAGCAGTGAAGTAGATGTGGGGAAGTCCCTAATGGGGAACCAGGCTAGTAGTCAAGTGGGGCAGTGCCATGGAAAGTTCCCCAGGATTCAAGATTTGATATTTTGCTGATGTTGTCCTTATTAACAGGTCTTGTAAGGCAATGGACCTCACTGAGAGAAGATCTGGTCCTAAGGGATTGGCTTCTACTAGCCAAATGTGCATTGATCATATTGACAGATCTGAAAGTTATTTGTTAGTTTATAGTGAGAGCTTTAACTCTTTCAGACTAAAACAATTATCTTGGTTTAACCACAGTGGAAAACCAGGATCCTGAACTACAATTGAAATATTTCCTAATAAATATGGATTATCCCCTGAGATCCTGGTCTGTTTATCTTTGAGCAGGCATTACCTGCCTGAAGGGCTAAGGCTTAGATGCCGGTGAAGTGCTCGCTCTTCACCCAGAGCTCTATAAATGCTCCTACACATTTGTTTCTTGTGCTTTTATCTTTTTGCTTATGATCAAACTCTAAGTTTTTCTTCCTACTGTAATACCCATCTAACTTTGATTTAATTTTGCATATTTTTAAAGCTTGCTTCACACGTGAAAAGCCATTTCTTGAATTATTGCAATTCTACTAATGCACAAACCTATGTTGCTTTCATTCTCAATTTTTGAGACCAGACAGCCATCTCTGTTACAGCATCCGCAGTCTGTATTCTTTTCTGTCTAGGTTTATGCTAAGCTGTCTATTGACAGTAGTGTTTTCATTACAGACAACCAAGAAGAGGAGGATGAAGGCTTGGGAGTTGATCTTTCGTTCATTGGCTCTCATGCCTTTGCCCGAATGGAAGGAGATATTGATAAGCAAAGAAAGCTGATTCTCCAGGGACAGTTATCAGAGGCAGCACTACAGAAGCAGCATCAAAGAAAGTAAGACAAATTCTTTGGGAATAGGGCATGAGTGGAAAGAGATCTTGCATCTGCTGAGTGATTTCCATATATACATAATGTATTCTGATTTGTGCTTCTGGACATATTATGAGAAAGATATCATCCCCATTTTGTAAGTGGAAAAACTAATTTACTAGTGATTACAATTAGTAAGAAGTCAAGTCAGCATTCAGGCACATGGCTGATTTCAGCTGTTGTATTTTGTCTACTGTAATTGTAATAACTCCAGTAAGCTAATAGCCTAAAAGGAGACATTAGGAAAAGGGGAAGGACAAAGTTTTTACTTGATTACATTTAGAATTAAAGCATTATATTCAGTTTAAAATTTTGTTTCTCTCTAAATTACTCCAAGTATGGAGCATCTGACTCACTGCATTGTTACAGATGTTTTCCACAGAAATTTCCAGGCAGTTCTCTTTAAAACATAGAAGCTATTGCTTTTTTGAGGGTTTAAGCTTTTCTAACAGCAGTGCCTGAAAAGCTAGCTGCTTTTCAAAAAAATTACGGAGAAAATAATCAAGCTACAAATAGATAACGTTATATTTTAAGATTATTTTTAACCTTTTAAGATTGTGTTGCGCATTAAATAAAATAATTCAGTGAATCTGATGTAACACAATAAGATTAGTCATTGCTAGTCCCTTAAATCAGCAGAGTCATGGTGTGTTACCTTAGAATTTTAGCACTTGCCTTGCCTTTTGACTGGAATACTCTCATCTTTCAGTTCTTACCAATTCTTCACCTTTTTCACTTAATCTTAGCCAAAAGGCCAAGAAGTGATCCACCTTTCTTAGAAACATTGCCTCTGAAAGCTTACCTTGCAGATCTGGAATAGATGCCTTTGCTTGTATACTTTTTCATACCCAGTACTTACCCAGAGAGCAGCATAGCATTGATCACGCTGTTTCATAATCTGAGGCTGAATGTTGTCATTCTTCATTGATGACATAGCAGTTGGAGTAGATATCTCTGGAGTCCCTTGGAGAATTAAATTTTTTGTGTCCTGAGTCCTAGGTCTTAATTCTAATTTAAAACATAACAAAACAAAAAGCAGTTAAGTCACTAGAGGGCACCAGTGAACAGCTTTTTGGAAGGTTGTGGTCGAATGATAGTTTGGCCCTTTCTAAGCTTAGCCATGGTACAAATCATAGGGCAAACATTTTCCTTCAAATGCAGTGACTGCTGTCCCTCACATTAGCTGCATCCACCTGTCTGTCTGTCTCTTTCTCTCTCTTTCTTTCTTTTTATTCTTAAAAACTTTTTAACTGTATTTTTAAAAATGTTTTTATGGTGTGATTTATGCATTGCTGAGTGTTCTCAAACTTTCTGATCTCTGGTCATTCCCCTTGTACCCTTAACACTTGGTGAAGATGCCAAAGAGCTTCTGCTCAAGTGGGCTTTATCTTCATCACTTATCAGTTCATTCTAGTAGCTTCATTTTGTAAGGATAAGTTTCTTTAATTTTTCAAGCATAATAACTTACTTTCAAGTCTTTCCCTTTTTCTTTCATTTAGAAGATAACTAAATTCTCGTATCGATATGCAAACTGTAATAATAAGTTTTGGGTCAAGTATGTGAGGAAAATCTCAACTCATCAGCTAACTATTTGAAGAGGGGGAAGCATTTTAATTGCATTTTTAGGTAATTTTATATATTTTTCTTTAATATAGTACCATAATTTGTCAACTGGATAGTTGTAGGATTTATGAATCTTTATGTTCTATTAGAATGTTTTATTCTGACCTGCAATCTGAACATATTTCATAATAGGAATTAAAGTAAGACTTTATGACATCATATGTTGATCTTTTGGAGAATATCAATTCGTTGAATTATTCAGTTCTTCCAAATATTGACACATTTTCTTATACACTATAAAAAATTATGTTTGTTGATGTTAAAAACTAGTCTCAACAGAAAACCTGTAAGTATTAGGTACTGTGATGCTTTTGGTGATGATAAAAGCTACCCAAGATTATATATATATATTTTTGGATTACAGTTTGGTCATTGGCAACATTTAGCATTTAACTACCAATGCTGTTGGTTATTATTTATAAGACAATAGCATAATTTACTCAATTTTGAGAAAACAACTGCCATAAGCTCATAAGGAATAGCCTTAGTTTTTCTGCCAGGCATCCTTTTTGGTAAAAAGTGGAGTTCAGGAAAAAAGCCACTGGTTTGCCTGCAGCTCAGATGGTCAGAGTGCTTCCTTCTCCACAGGCTCCTACTTCAGTGTAGATGTGCTTTATGTGTCCTTCCCGTTCTGTCACATGCTAATATTCTAAAGGTGAGTTTTCAAGAGTTAATATTTAACTCTTTAATGAAGTTGGCATTTCTTTTTATTCCCTCATGAAAGATATTCTTAAACTAATCCAGTGGTTTTCTTCCTCATAGATTTGACGGTAAACAATCCAGTGACTATTGTGAGACTTTGTTGCAATTGCCTTTATATGTGATAGGCCACTACCTGGCGTTTTTACCTAACAGTTGTTTCTGAGCTATCTATGCAAATGTCAACACAGTGAGAAAGACACGGAATGTGTTAGTGTGATCATTGACTTAGTGTTGACATTGCAAAATCCTCTCAAGATTCCTTGGGACCAGTTCAGGGGTGTGCAGCCCACACACGAGAACCACTGATATCTGGGCTCTCTCTACTTTATAATTAGATGGAATTTTGGTGATCACCTGGATCAGATTTCCCCAGTATCATCCTCAGTCTGTGAGCCTCAGAATGTTTTATGTAATTGTGAAGATCACTGCAGACGCCATGAAGTACCTCCTGAATGAGACCCTCTGCTGGAGGGCTCAGGAATCCCCCTCGTGAAGTTTCTCAGCTGATTGAGTTGTGCCCAGTGTCACTGATCTGTGTGACCTTTTTACTTTTACATGGGATAAATTGATCATGCAGAATGACTTTCACACATTTACAACTCATTAAAGAAGAACTTTCAGAGTTATCAGTACACACAGCTTCCTTCTCTACAAGCTTCTTCAACCCACTGTCACACACAAACCTCAGAGCTGTTGAGCAGGGACTAAAGGTTTTTGTGTTCACTGCAAAGATTTGCATGCTTTATCACCTTTCTCAGATCATCCAACCTTTTCTTTTGTGCTCTTGCTCCCTCTGTTTCGCTCACTTTGTCCAATACACATACTTATATCTCACGTATTTTTTTTTATTTTCACCATTAAATGGTATAAATAACCTGTAGTAACTTAAGTTTTTTTGTGGGTCTGGACACTCACCTGTTATTTAAATTTGTTTCACTTAGTGAATGCTACTTAAGCCAGTACTGACTGAATCCACACTTTGTGAAGAGGAGTCTGCAGCACACAGGAAAATCTTGGGGAGGAATATGAACTCGGCTTGTCAAAACTGTCCTCATTATTGGTGGGGGCCCTGGGACCTGAGAGTCAAGTGTGTTACAGTTGACTTTTCTTTTTGGTTCAGGAAATGTTGGGAATATATTCTACAAGATACAAGGGTAGGCACTGGTTTATAGAATAATGTGGTTGTTCCTTGTGGCAGGAAATTCATGAATCAGGTGTCAGAGGTGTAGAGGTATGTCAAGGCAGAATTTCTGAACAGCAGTCAGGTGCTGTGCACAGCCCATCAGCACATGGGAACAAACTATGAGCAGCACCACATGACTTCCAGTGCCATAACCAGGAAGAAAAGACTGGTGCCTCTGCCGTCCCATTCCTTTGAGCTGTGTCCACATGTAAACAGTCTTTGATCCCCCATTTACATGCCCGGTGTCTGTGAGGATTCAAGATGCAGTTTTGTTATACAACTATAGCACAGAATACTTCAAAGTGATATTAGAAAACTATCTTAAAGACAATTTAAAGTTTACGTGAGCAAAGAAGGCTTCAGCAACCACACAATACCCAAAACCAGAAGGGATTTTGAGTTTTGAATTTTGGAACATTTTGGGTTTGGGATCTAGGCAGGTGATGCTAAGCCAGATCAGTACTTTCATAGCATTGCCTTACTGCATTAGTACCCTTTTGCAGTAATTCTTTAGAGCATCGGAAAAAAATAGGGCACGTTGTCTGATTCTTACACTAACTTTTCCAGGCCTCTGTCTAGTTGCAGCTTTGATTCAGGTGAGTCGGCTAGAGTTTTGTTTACTTACAAGAATTAGGAAGGAAACTAGATACTCTTCTTCAGAGAAGATTTTGAGATTACAAAAAATATTTTAGTGTAATGTTTTCTTTCTTTGTCACTGGTATTCCTTGTTGGTGACTCTTAGGTTGTTTCTCACAGCAAAAACATCATCTCACTCATTTTTAAACATTAATTCCTTAAGTTGTACTAGAGGCTTCTGGTAATATAGAATGACAAACAAGCAGATGCAGCCTCCAGCCTAATGAAGCTTAGGATCTTGCATAAGAAAAAGATGGTAAATCATTCAGTACTGTTACAATAAGAGATTTTAACAAAAGTCATAGCCAGGGCTACAGCGGAAAGTCTCATAAAGTCTGGGAAAGCTGTGTATTCTAACAATGGAATTTACCATTCATCCTTCAACCTATGAAATACAGATAAATGGTAATTGATTAACTGAAAGTAATTGGCTTATGTTAGCTTTGTGAAGACAGTGTCCAACTTCAGATGATTGAGAAACTACTCAGTATTTCAGCCTTTCTACTGCTGACATTCTGTATGTTTGCTTATGCATAATTTTTTTTCTCATCAAGTAGCAGAAACTGATTTATTTGGGATAAGCAGTAGACAAAAATGAAACTATTTTTGAGTTGATACTTTCCTATTTTAGCTTTGTAAAAGTACAGCAAATATGTGCAAGCTAAGAAACATAAGGGAAAATCCAAAATATTCTTCAAATAATGAAACTTAGTAGAAAATAAGGCAAGCCTTGTCTCTAATGAATGCTGAGATAAGCAAAACATTTTATTTTTTACTCCTGTCTCTCAACAAGTGATTACTGGAAAAAAAAAAAAAAAATCTGGCTAGATAGCCAGTCTCACACAGTCTTTGGTGGAGATAAAGGAGACCTAACTGGAGCAAAGAAGATGAAGATTGCAATCAGAAGTTGTTTCACTGAAGTGGAAGTTCACTTCAAGGTGAACGAGGAACCTCAGCAGCACGTTTCTCAACAGTGATTCTAACTTCTTTAAACTAATGAATGCTTTGAGAACTTGTCCTACGTTATAACCTTCTTCCCGTACACATATTTAAATAGATTTTGCCAGCCAGAAGCTCTCATTGGAACTCAAGGCAAATTACTGATGAAACTAAAAAGCATTTTAGAATTTATACTATCTTAGGGCTCATACCATAGACTAAAATTAGTTACAGATGGATTAAGGACTTAGCTTTTATTTTCAATTACAACTCAAGAAAAAAAAATACATGTTAGTGTCTTTTATTCCTTAGATCAAAAAATTAAAACATAATAAACTATTAAAGAAAAGGAAGCTTGCAGTCGAGGACGGCCCAAAGCTTTGGGACCCTGCACCCGTGTGGGAGTGAATCATCGGACGAAAGATCTTCCTCTCTGTCTCTCCTCTCTGTATATCGGCCTTTCCAATAAAAAAATAATAAAAATAAATCTTTAAAAAAAAAAAGAAAAGGAAGCTTTTCCTATATTAAAATTGATAACTCTATAAAGTAGAGCCAAGAAACTTAAAGTAAAAAAACAAGTTACAGAATGGGAATATATATTCACAATGCATACAGCTGGCAAATGGTTAGTATTCAGAATATGTAGAGAACTGCATATTGCTAAGAAAAAAATGGACAGCCCAGTGGAAAAATGGACAAAAGGTATAAATAGGATATCAGCCTCATCACGGAGCAGTGAAATACCATTTCAGAACCTACTACCTGACATAAGATTCAAAAAGGATGTGGAATAACAGGATCTTATTTATTGATTATAGAAGTATAAATCAGTGGGTGCCTTACCATAGTGCCAGCATTCCATATGAAATAGTTCAAATCCCAGCTGCTCCACTTCTGATCCAGCTCTCTGCTTATGGCCTGGAAGAGTAAGGGAGGGTGCCCCTCGGAACCCGGCACACACTTGAGAAACCTCAAAGAGGCACATGGCTTCTGGCATCAGACCAGCTCAGCTCTGGCAGTTATGACCATTTGGGGAGTGAACCGTGGATAGAAGACCTTTTCTCTGCCTCTCTATGAAATCGGCCTTTTAATAAACATTAAAAAAGAATACTAAACTCAAAAGGTTATGTAAAATATAAGGTTATTTTTATTGTTAAGTAAAAACGTGTTATATTCAGTGCAAAAACATAAAACAAAGAAAACCAAGGAAGTGAAAAGGATGGGTTTCTGGATAATGGAGTAACCATACGATTAGCATGGATTATGTTCAAGGCATTCGTTTTTATTTTAGGTCTTAGGATTAGGGATATTTATTTCAAAAAAAAATAAAGAGCTATACCTATTTTATTTAAGTGTGACCTTGCATGTACCAGGAAGAGTATTTTGAAATAAAGATGGTTAATTCTGTTGTGCACCTGAGTTTTAACTTTAGAAATGTTTTTTTGAAAGTTCATTGACTACATGGTTAATGAGTGTCAGGAACTAATCCTGGAAGTTGGCTGAAAATACAGTGAAGTAAAATGTGTTTCCTCTCTGGAGGTCCCATAGACTGAAAACAGGTCCTGAAAACAGGCATCGCAGGAAATGGAAGTAGGGGTTGGTGATGCAAAGAAGAGAGCAGCTGTTTCTGCAGCATGCCTGGGACCTGCTTGCAGTCAGCAGTCCCGTGCCTCCACTGTCACCCTCCCCACTCTGCCCACCACTGCAATGTATCTTTGGCAAATGAACAAAATTCAGAAATGAAGAACTGTTCACCAAATTTTTGTTGCATGCTTTCTGCCAGAACCTATGATGCTCATAGAAAAATACAAGTTACGTATTGCTGTTTAGGTTTGTGGAGATAATTTAATTATAAGAAAATTAGAATTCAGAAATAAAAACTAAACTTTTACTCCCCTTACCCCCATAGGTTTTTAAGTTTTACTTTGGATGTCATGATTTGCATCTTTTTATATTGTATATGTTTAACAAGTTATTGCAACTATCATTTTGATAGTTTCATTGTTAATCTTCAGGCGGCAGATATGATACACTACATTAAATAATGTAAGACACAAGGGATAATAGCCCAGTGATACATGGAATCTAAAAAAATTTGATCTCAAAAGCAAAGAGTAGAATGCTAGTTACCAGGGGTTGGGAATGGACTGGAGAGGGGATGGTCAAAGAATACAGATTTTCAGTTGGCTGAAAATGTACTTGAAAATTACTGAAAGAGATTTAGATGTTCTCACTATAAGAAAATAGTAAGTATATGTAGTAATTAGTATATTTATTAGCTTGATTTAGCCAATTGCCAGATAGAAATGTATCAAAACATGCCGTACGCAGTGTGTGTTATAAAACTTTTGTTCATTAAAATAACGTTCAAAAATGAAAATGGGAACATGAGAATTGTGGAAATAACTGAGAAAATGTGGAATGAAGTAGAACACTGGAATTTGGAAGAACTAAAGTCAGTTTTGCTACTGACTTTCAGATTACATTTTAAACAAAATTTAAAAGTGTTTGACTTTTACCTTGTTAAGAAGATAATCTAAGATTTAAGGTAATCTACAGAATTAGCACAAAGCTAAGTATAATTTGCAATTACAATTCCTTTGAAATTAACAGGCATTTCAGTTGTTGCTCACAGCCCGTATGTATTCTTCCTATGAAATTCTTAGTTCCATGCTAAACACCATATTGCAGATGAAAAAGACAAAGTCCATGATAGTAAAATGACGTAAGTGAAATTACATTGAAATAAATCTTATGTGACCTGGACACCTCAGTGTTGCGTTTGACATTTATGTATCTTGATGTACTTACTGTACTTTTCTGATAGTCAAGTAAGTGCACTTTGAATTTTGAGGTGGCAATGTGATCTAGTAGAAACAGCACTCAGAAAAATGTAGACCTGAAGTAAAACTCATATTCAGCTCTACCACTAAACGACTGGAAATTGTAAGATCAACTTGATCATTAATCTTTTGCAGATCATTTCCTCTCATGAAATCTCTAATGCATATTTCAGTTTTAATGTCCTCTGAGCCAAAGCCAAACTGTAGTGCATATGTTCTGATACTTGGGGTATCAGTACATGTAGTTTAGTTAACTAATCGTTAAATATGCTTGGAGTCCCAGATAACTACCTGGCTCTTCTATGTTCCTGGATAACTTGTACAGCATTTACTTATTTTCCCCTGAAAAGTAACCTCCTGAAGGGCGAGCAGCTGTGTGTATACAGTGCAGTATTCTCTAAGCATATCATAGGGTAGGCACTAAATAAATGTGCGCTGAATAGGGGAACATCTGTTTTAGAGATCTGCTGTTGCTTTAGGCTCTTTCTGTTTGCATTGTTTTAGTAGAGGAAATAGTAGAATATAAAAGCAGTTTTAAGTACATGACTTTTTACAAACCTTTTATCTATATATGCCTCATGTGATCATAAAGATTCTTTACAAGCATGTAATATGAACAGCGTCCTTTTCCAGTTACTCATTTGTGTTTATCTTATCAGTAATGGACAGTAGAGATGTTGCATGGTAAGTGTAATGACCTCATTGATTCCTACCTCATTGTAATGAAGCACCGATTCTCTAAGGTCCTAGAGGGATACTACATAGCAGTTCCATGTGTAAGTTTAGTTTGTAAGGGTTTTTTATAATCATCATGTCCTTTATTATTTCTCCAGTTATAACCGTTGGTTATGTCAAGCAAGATCTGAGGATCTGTCTGATATTGCTTCTCTAAAAGCCTTATACCAAACAGGTGAGCCTGAGGATGGTGGGAATTCAATCTTTTACTAATTAAGGATCTTACCCAGCATGCTTTGTGAGAATTCATTCTTCTCTGACTTACCCAATTCTCTCTGAATAAAATGTTTTTGTACCAATGCAAATAGTTTTTGCCCATCATCAGAGCCTTAGAAATAACATCTAAGTAACTAAAGTAAGTGTAGCTATTGACTTTCAGATTACATTTTAAGTAAAATTTTAAAGTTTTTGACTTTTACCTTGTTACCAGTTTTAGAAGGTAATCTATAGAATTAACACAAAGCTAAGCATATTTTAAAACTTTCAGTTGAAACTATGAAAGTTCCAATTTACAGTTCTACATTGCCAATTTTAATTTCTCCCTAGTATCTTTTTTTTTTTTAATTTTTCTTCTGCCTTTGAAAGTATATGCTCCATTAACAAATGCAAACCTTACATAATGGAGACAATGAAAATTGCCAGAGTCCCACTCTTTTACTATTAGATTTTAGAAAATGCTTGCTAATTTTCAGGTTTGAGTTTACTTTTGCCTGGATCACTGATGTTACTTAATTTTGAAGTGAGTTTAAACAAAATACTGTTTATAGAAAAATCTTTGGCTGTTCCTTATCTTGAGATCTTTCAGAAGTCTTATCTGAGAAGTCAGGGTAGTCATCTAAACCTCATGAGGCTTTGAAAAAAAGGTGTTGTTTTCTACACTATAAAACAAATCTGAAGATAAAATTTAAGACAAGTGCTTCCTCCCTTTAAGTCCTTTAATATGTGTGGAACATTATTATACAGAAGAGCCAAGGACAAATAATAGTTTTGGAGTAAAGTTTCTGGGTGCTAATTCCATTTCCTGTCTGTAGGTGTTGATAACTGTGGTCGCACAGTGATGGTGGTAGTTGGAAGAAACATTCCTGTTACGTTAATAGATATGGACAAGGTAAGTCATCACTAGGCTGTGTTTTGCAAATAATGTTAATTTTAAAAAATGGAATGTGAATTTTGGCATCAGATCTTACAGTGTGAGATGAAGCTGAACTGTGCCTCACTGGCAGGGTAGCAACCGTGGGTCTGTGAGTCAGCATGTACGCTCGAATTAGGACTTTGGTTTTTCTCTGTAGGAGAAACAAAAATGCGGGAATGCTGCATGTGATTCACAAAATCACAGCTGCTTTATTTTGGGGATGATGTAACTGGAAAGTGTTTGTTTGGAATCATTCTGTATTACAGTTTTATAATGAAATAATGACTTCTTTAAAAAGTTAATATGAGTTTGTATTAGAAGAGAAGAAACCAGACATGTGAGATGAGATATTTATCTGAGATAGAATAGTTTTTGATCCCTTCATTTTGAAGTAAACAGCAGAAATAGATCATGTCTAAAGTAACAACTATAACTGCTTAGTAAAATATAAAATATTTAGTTGGATAGTAAGTTGTCTGAAAAAAGTGACTCAAAATATCTATTTCACCTTCAGAATTACCTGATAATCCTTGTCAAAGAGAAATTGAAACCATAAAAGTGATACATTCTTTAAGTATGGTAAAAAATTACATACTTAGTGATACAAAAGTAAGCACAATTCTAAGATAAAACACAATATACAAAAGCTGATCTTGCTTCAGCATAGACCCCCAGACTTTTGATTGCTGGTATTTGGCAAAATATTTGTGTAAGCGGTGAATTTGGCACATTATAGGATCGTCTGTAGCCAAAAGTTATAACTTAGATTCTTAACAGGTGAATGGAGTACACCCACAAGGAATGTTCTGTGATCCTTCAAATTTATGGTTTTATAAGCCAATACTGTAGACAGATGTTTATGATATGAACCAATTGGAGAAAAAGTGGTAACATAAAATGTGTCTGCACTAATCTTAATTATTTGTGTGTGTGTGTGTTTCTTGGAACCTCAAAAGTAAAAACTGGAAGTAAAATATCAGTGAATTTTATGGTTTGAAGGAGAATTTATCCTTCGCATTTTTCTGTCATGTGTCTGTTCCTTCGATAGCACAAGCTTAAATTATAGATAGAGAATTTAAAACCACAAAGGGGTATTGTAATAGTTGTGAAGTAGGAATGGAGAATGAACATAAGGAGAACAAAAAAAAGGAATCCAGTAAGAGGAGACGTCAGGATACAAATATACACACACGCAACCAGAGGACAGGCATCTGTATTTCTGTTTATAATCGCTTGTTTTATAGTTTTAATGATTATGACATTCTTTCTGATCATCAATTATGTGATTGACACCAATGAAAACATAAATCCCTACTCTTGATTTTGGTGTGTTGGCCCTGGGGTTCTGAGCATTCAAGGTATTTCATTTCATATAAATTAATGAGATATATTTTTAAGGACCAAATCAGGTAACAGCTGGGAAAATGCTGTATTTTCTTAAGACCCTGCTCTGTTTGCCCTGATAGCAGCAGTTGGATTCTAACCCTTATTAATGCCAGGGACTCACCAGAGCAGGAATTTGAAAACAGCATTGTAATCCTTCAGTTATTCCCTCTTTGAGATTTCCTCTTTGTAATTGTTTACAGCTAAATCACCGGGTCATTCTGGCCCTTCCCATATTGTATGTTTTGTCTTTCGTGTTTTTCTTAGATTTTTTGCTTCTTGTAATGAAGCGTTTCTCTAACTTACCTGGGTTACTTTCTAGAACCTTTCAGAGCTGCCTATCTTGTCATTATGTACTGACTAGATCCGTTGTCAGTTTCCTCATACAGATCAGCATTAAAATTGGCCCTTGCATGAGTCATGTAGGCCACCACTCATTATATGCTTTTTTACCAAGTCTTATTTATGTGAGAGCCATGAGTCTATTTCTGAACAGAAGTTGCAGACATTTTTCATTGAATTCAAGCAGAAACTTCTTCAAGAAGTTTAGGGGTTTGTAACTCTACTTCTAATGATTCTGATGTCATTATCCTGAAGGAGAAATGATATAGTTAACCCAAGAACATTTTCCATTATAAGAAGTTACTCCATGGGATATGGACTAATTGTTCTCCTCCATCACTTGGAACAAGAGTGAAGGGGATTTTACTGTGGCATTTCTGAGGATTGTTACACACTGAGGTGGTTCACTTTTCCAAAGATCTTAATGGAAATTGGTGCTCACATCAGCCTAAGATGTGCCTCTGCAAGGACCGGAGTGTAAATTACTCTTCTGGGCTCTGTCTTGGCATCTGTGAAACAGACTGCTGTGCAACATAATGTTAACCTTTACTGTTCTTCTTTCAGGCTCTCTTATATTTTATCCATGTAATGGATCATATTGCTGTGAAGGAATATGTGTTAGTATATTTTCACACACTAACCAACGAGTACAATCACCTGGACTCTGACTTCCTGAAGAAACTCTACGATGTTGTTGATGTGAAGTAAGTAAGTGATTTTTGAAAATTGTAACAAGGAAAGTCGTTTCTTTCTTTCTAATTTTCTGTGAAAGGATATAGCTTGTAACCTAGTTTTTGAAATACACAGATTAGATACTGTAGTCATAGATGGCCCTCCTTAAATTCAAGCATTTTGTAGTAAAGTAAGTTTGTATACTTATAGTATAAACAGTTCTCCTCATTTTTTCTTTTATTTATTTTTAGCTGAAAGAGTTATGGAGAGAGAACAATATCGTCCATACACTGGTGATTTCCCCTCCTGGCCACAGTGGCTGGAGCGGGGCCAGTCCAAATCCACGATTCAGTAACTTCTTCTGGGACTCCCATGTGGGTGCAGGGACCCAAGGACTTGGTCCATCCTCTGCTGTTTACTAAGACCATTAGCAGTGACCTGGATCAGAAGTGGAACAGCTAGGACTAGAAGCATTTCCCAGTATGAGGTACCAGTTCCATAGGCAGGGGATTAAGATGCTGCACCATTACACTGGCTCTTTTTTGCCAATTTGGAAAAGATTCAGAGTGATTACAAATTTTATGTATAAAGTAATAGATATACTACCTTCTGTTTTTATGGTGTGTCACACTTACCAAAATACTTTTATCCATAATTTTCATCCAATAATCCATGGATTTGTTAGCAGAGATTCTGTGTGTGTTTTAAAGATAGTGCAATATTAACATTCTGAAGAGTAAGGTATATTGCCCAAAATTTTACTACAGTGCCTGCAGAATTTGGACTTCAGCCCAGAATAGTGACTTGGAAATAGAAAATTATTTCCCTTAAATCCCATTTCCTTTGAAATGATAATGGAAATTTTAATGGGAAAATACATGAAACTCCACAGCAAAGAACAAACGCAATGTTTAATATTTCTTTTCACTAATATGTTTCCTGAAGAGAAAAGGCACTCCACCTTCTGGGCAGCTGTGCTGTAATTTGCAACATCACAATGTTATTAGGGATTGTATTTTTAAAAATTATCTTACAGTTAAGTTACAAAGAAAGCAAATTGGTAGAAATTTCCAACTATCTTATTCTTCTCATTGAATCTCATCCTATTTAGGGATACTAATGTTTTCATTACTCAGTACCTTTCCAGCTTGCCTTGGATATTATGTTCCTGTGCTCATTTATGTGTCAGGAAAACTCACTCCACTGTAACTGTACTTATACTGCTGATCAGCTCTTTAACTTGAAACAGACCTCAACTATAAACATTTTCTCTGAAATTCCTTCCAGTTAGCGATAGGTGCCCCATTGTTATTATTGAACCTTTGGAAAGCTCTCATGCCTACCTAGAGAGGAAAGGTAGAGTAGGAATTGACGGTGGGTATCTTGAGCCAGGTAGCCTCACGACTGCTCCTGGCTCTGCCACCTACTGCCACCTCTGCCACCTACACTCCCTGACTTGGGAGTGTTGAAAATAGAAGCAGTGAAGCACTTAGCTCATAGAATTGTTATACAAATCAATTGAAAAACCTTCAAACTATTTCTGGGATGTAACAGCTTCTATAAGCCATGTTTACAGAGTTCATGGAAAATGCATGTTTTGAAAAAAATTATGTGTGAATTTCAAAATTCTTTTGCATCAAAACAGCTTATCTTTTAATGCCATGTTCCAAAAGCTTTTTGAAATACCTTCATATTTGTTACCAAACATCAAGTTTTAGTTTCCATTTTTTATATATCTAATCCTAAAGATTCTAACACAGTTTTTAAAATGACACACAATCTGCTTTTAAAGTATTTTCTTAACTTTGTTCTACCTACAAGTGGCTCTCTTGTAGCCAACAGGAACATATCTCCTATAAAACAAATACTTTAAGTAATAATAGTCTCTGAGTTTTTGCCAATAATTTAATATACAAACTGGAGCACGTTTTAAAAAACATTTTTCCTCCATATATATTTAAATTCACAAGCAAAGAATTTTCTTTGGTGGTTTCAAGTTTTAGGCATGACTTACACCGACCCTTTTTGTTTGTTTATTAGGTACAAGAGGAATCTGAAGGCTGTTTATTTTGTTCATCCAACATTTCGTTCAAAGGTACAGTGTTTTAGTCTTTTGACTACATCTTGAATTTTAGTGTCCTGCCTGCTGAGTATACTGTGATGTATTTCAGTATCTTCCTTCTTGCTGCCGCCAGTTTTAAGTTAATTTCTTCATTTGCCCTCCTTTTTTTAAGTGATCCGAGTGTGATCCTGCTGTTTTGGCCATCTGTGACTTCACTGTCTTTGTGGACAGCCTTTCTAAGCTGTCAACTTTGCTGTCCTTCCTCTTTGTGCCCTTTGTCCACTGTGCTCGAGGTGTCCACCAACAGCTCCTACTGTTGGCATGGGAATATTCTCCCTCCTCTGCTTATAACTAACTTCTGCTTATCTTTCTGGTCTCAGCTCAATGACTTTCTACAGAAAACCTTCCCGGCCAATCCTACAGCTAGAGTACTCCTGCCTTGTTCTCCCTACGATTCTGTAGTCTTCTGCTGTTGCAATGTTTTTATTTGAATTACATTTTAATTTCTTTAATTGTGTGTTAGTTTGCAAGATCTGAGGGCTAGAATATAGCTATCATACTACTATGTTCACAGAACTAAATCCTATATTTTGGCGTCATCAGTACATAGTCCATTAGTTCTTTTACTCTTTCTTGCTTTTGGGATAGTTGGGGGAGGGCTGTTTATTTGAAAAGCAGGTGTCAGAGAGGAACCAACAGAGAGAGATCTTGCATCCATTCCTTTACTTCATAACTGTCTACAGTGACTAGACTAGGGATGAGCAAGGCTAAAGCTCAGATCCTTGTCTCTCTCATGGAGGCAGGGGCCATTTTTGAGTGCTTTCCCAGGCACATCAGCAGGAAGCCAGATTGGAAGTAGAGGAGCCATAACTCAGACCAGCACTCTGTTATGGGATGCTGGTATGGCAAGCACAAGTTTAACCCACTCTACCACATGCTAACCCTTCATTCTTTCCTTTATTTCTTCACTGTCCAGCCTTAGCACAACATTCCAGCACTATACTCTTCTCTGTTAACTCTTTCACCACACCTCCCCATTAAAACCTAAACGTAGCTAATTGATTGTTCTGCTTTCTTCACTCTTATATCTGGGTTGCTGAGCACTGATGGAGAAATCCAGAGCCACAAGTATTTATGTGCCTCGGCAGGCTCATGAGACTTTCTCCGCTGGAGATCCTTTGATGTTTCACTGCATTGTGTCTCAGCATCATCTCCGTTCTCCTCAAGTCCATTTTACTTCAGCAGATGAGCTGCCCTGTTCTTAACCAAGAACAAAGAAACCACATAGAAACCACCGTTAAGAATCTCCTTCTTCCTCATTCATCCCAAGTGCATCTGCCATCTCTTCCTATCATTGCCTCCTTTATTTCTGTCACAAAAAACAGTGCTCATTCTCTGCCTGTGCTCTGGACCTGGTAGTAATGACAATAGCTAGCCTGTTTTGAATACTTAGCATGTGCAACTTTTCACAAGCATTTTCTTGTTTTGGCTCTACAGTAGTAAACTGGTGGAGAGTGGTAAGACTTCCATTCTACAGGTTACAGAATTGATGCTTACCAAAATTACTGAGCTTCTCTAGAGTAATTCATGGTGAGTAGCAAAGGCCCAATTTGAATTTTGGCATTTTAATATCAAAGCCTTCAGTTTTTAACTTTGGAATTTGTCTCCATTTCCTGAGGGCATTTTCTTCAACAATTAGCGTCTTTCCCTCAGGTAGATTTAAGGCATCTACTCTTTTTTTTCCCTTTACAAAAAAAAAAAAAATTGGTACAAATCATCTTTTGTGCTCAGCTGTCTCCATTTTTCATAGGTGTTAAGTCATTCCATTTTAGTTCTAGTCACACGGCACTGCTGAAGCAGGCAATTCACATCAAAATCTCCTATAACCTAGTGTTACTAAATCCCACAGACACTTCTCTGTCTTGACATTCCTGCTTTCTTTACGGCTGTCAGGACAGTCAGTCACTTCTTCATTGAAACGCTTGGTCTTGGCTTCTTTGAAACCCTTCCTGCTTGCTCTTACTGCTCCTGCTCAGTCATCTCCATCCTTTCTCTTATCCTTTGAGGGTTAGTATTTTCAAGTCCTCTATCCCCAGCTTCTGTACCTTTTTGATTCCTGTGTCATCAGTGGCCTTTTGGAGTAGATGTAATCTCCAGAGACCATGAATTCAAAATTCAGATGATTTATGTTTCTGTCCCAGCTCTACAAGTATCAATTTATCATCTCAGTAATTTTAATTTCTCTGTGTTTTTATTTTATCCTCTATTTCATGAAGATAATATTAATAGCTGCCTTGTAGGCTATTGGAAGGATGAAATAGCTTCCAATAATAATAATACATATAAACCAGCTAAAGCATGCAATGTCAAGTGAGTAGTCAAATACTAGCTATCATCATCATCATCATTCCTGGGCTGTAGACCTGCATATTGAACTGCTGATGAGATATCTTGACTCTGATGTCTTACAGGCCTCTGAAGCTCAGCATTTTAAAACAGAACTACTCATATCCTCTCCTACCTACTCCTATAAACAACTTTGTGTATTCACTATCTTGACACATGTGATCACTGCCTACCAGGGGTCTGAGCCAGAGACCAAGAAGATCTCCTGAGTCCTTTCTCTGCTCACGTCTCACCACATTTATTGCACCAATTCTTAGTCTTGCTCAGCTCTGTCTACAACTTTATTTTTTCCACCTGTATTGTAGTTTATCTCAGGTCATTTTTAACCTGAGGTTTAATCATGCATTTACTGTTGTATTAGGTAAGTTAGGGTGAGAGAAAGAAGCAGGTTAGGCATGGTTTCCAGGTACGTCAGATATGGGGATTGTGGGTTGAGATAAAGATGAGTCAGTATAGAGTAGATCGACCTTAACTCTGTAGACGTGTTAATGGATAAAATCAGAGAGACTTGAAAGAGAGCAAAGAAGACAACTAACAACCCCTAGCATAAGGAAAGGTGTCCAAGAGTAATGTAAAACTAACTAGGAAAAGCAACATAGACTAATGCTGTGGGAGGCACTGTCAAGCAACAGCTCTTCCAGGGACTATGTGGAAAATAAGATATGTACTGAAAGGCCTTCATTATATTTCCTAATTAAGAGAAGAGTGAAGATATCAGTGAGATAGTTGTTGCTACTGTGGAATTTCATATTGTTTAAAAAATTACCCAATTTTCTCATCCAGGTGCCATCATGAAAATTTTCTGAGGTAGATTAAGTAATTTTTTTAGATTATAAATTTAGATCAATTTAAAAGCTAATTTCTGAATTTTGTTTCTTTTTTGTTTATATAAAAGGGAAACTGAGAGCAGGGGCAATCACCCTTCTGTTTGGATGAACACCCCTCCCCAACACCCTCCCCAGTTCCCAGCTGTGCTGAGCCAAACCAAAGCCAGGTGTTGGGAATACAATCCAGTCCTCCTGTGTGAGTGAAATGGCCTGAAATGAGCCATCACCTGCTGCCTCCCAGGGTACACATTAATGAGAAGCTGGAAGCAGGACTGAAGCTCAGATGCAAACCCAGGCAATTCAGTGTAGAATGAGGGCTTTCCCAGAAACATCCTAGTTGCTACACCAAATGCCCACCAGTTTTTAAAAATATTTGTGGGAACACTGTTTAGCCAAACTTTAAAAATGAGCTTTAATGAATGACCCTACTGTTGTAATAAAATGGGGGGAGGGGGAAATAGTGGGGAATTAGGGAGTGAGGAAGGAGAAAAGCTTGGAAATCCAGCGAACCCAAAATTTGTAAAGAAAAAAGATTTTATGCTTCATGTTTACAAGAGTGTCCTTTTTTCTTTTTTTCAATTTCTGCTTATGACTGAGCACACAACTCCCAGCTAATGACTAGCTAGGAAGGAGAGAACTTTGAATATCTGTGTGTTGGTCACTGTCATAGTACCACATGATCACTTCAGCAGCCTAAAATGACACTTTATGCTCTACAGCAGAGTTTAGAGAAGCTTTATAAATGGAGTGAACCAGTCGACTGAGTGAGGGAATACCCTCCCCTCTACCTTAGTCTTTTTCTAACCTACCTCCCTCTCTTCATCCCTTCACTCCACTCCTTTCCTCTGACAAACAGGCTGGAAATTTTCAAATGTTGATGTTCTCAAAGGATATCTACTTTAAAATCTTGGCTGTTGATGGTGAAACTAGTAGAAATTTAAGGGTATTTGTAAACTATGCGTGAATTAAATGAATTTCATTGTACTGCCATTAGAATTGATTTTTTAAATTTAGTGAAATGAAAGTATAATCATAGAAGAGGTAATAAAGAATGCACTTGGGGGAAAAAAAGTGGGGCTTTAAAATGGTGACAGGAAAATATGTATCATGAGCCCGTTATGGAAAGGGCTTTTTCTGCTTTTGGTTCAGTTAAGTTCTAAGTATTTAGTGTTCTCAGGTAATGTATACTGTTAATATTCCCATTATTTTATTGTATTCTGTTAGTCATTTGTCTTGTTTTTAAGATTGTTTGTTTGAAAGAAAAAGAAAATGGTTCCATCCACTGAGTCAGTCCCCAAACGGCCACAAGAGCCGTGTCTGGGCCAGGCTCCCACACATGGATATAGAGTCCCAAACACTTAGGTCATCTCCCAGTTCTTTCCCAGGCACATTAGCAGGGAGCTGGATCAGAAGTAGAGCAGCCAGATCTTGAACTGGTATGCAGACAGGATTCTGGTGTCACAGGCAGAGGCTTAAAACACTTGTGATACCACAACACCAGCCCCATCTTATTTTCTACATAGGAAGTAACGCGTGACCCTTTTCCCCAATTTCATCATCCCCTTGTGTGTGTGTTTTATCCAGTAACTACCAAGCTTTTTCTTAGTGGAGGCAAATAAAGATTAGTCTGATCTTGAGTTTGTGTTTGCCAGATATATGCTTTCACTACTTATTTACAATTACAATGAAAATAATAGAAGGTTCAATTCAGCAAGAAGAAATTAAGGCAACTAAATTAGGGAGGGATAAATAAAAATTTTATTCCCAGATGACATACCCACTGCTGTAGTTCATCCTATG